CAGATTGCTGTGTTACCATGAAAGTCAAGAGAATTCAGGAGTCAGGACAAGACAGGCACAGATTTAGGATCCAGAATTATACTGGTTTTCACCTGCAGTCCTTGATGTGATCAGCCTGAAAAATTTGATACCACTCTTCTGTTGAGAGAACTGTCATGCATTGATAAACGTTGTCTTTTATTCCCATATGTCTGGAATCTGTTCCATTTTCTAATTCCTCACCTAATTATGGCTTTAATAACCAGCAGCCAGCTTGACTTTTCCATATCCGGTGATGGATATTCAAGAGTAAAACACTTAAGTCTTATTTTTGTGAGGATCAGTTGGGTGTTTGGTTTTTTTTTGTTGTTGTTTTTAATTACTCATTCTTTGACTCTGCCCCTTAGTTGTTTTGTTTTATTCATTTTGGGGTTGGATTATCGTTTGTATAGTTTTAAAGTATCACAGGTAATTCTGATATGCATTCCTTGAAGAGAGCGTCTCTTTTTACTTCTTCCCTGCCACCCTCAATGGAAAAAAGAATGTTCTATAATAAAAGTAAAAATATAGCAAAACCCTAAACAGATCCTCACAGGTCATTATAGTGAGCATTTTTTTTCCTTAGCACAGAAGCAGAAAAGAAAGTATGACCTTGTGCTTTTAAATGGTTTAGTTCAAGATATTTTAAGCCATTCCTAGTGATATATATCAAGTGTGTTACAAATTATCCTTTATTATAAATAATTGCAGGCCGGGCGCGGTGGCTCAAGCCTGTAATCACAGCACTTTGGGAGGCCGAGGCGGGTGGATCATGAGGTCAAGAGATCAAGACCATCCTGGTCAACACGGTGAAACCCCGTCTCTAATAAAAAATACAAAAAATTAGCTGGGCATGGTGGCACGTGCCTGTAATCCCAGCTACTCAGAAGGCTGAGGCAAGAGAATTGCCTGAACTTAGGAGGCGGAGGTTGCAGTGAGCCGAGATCGCGCCATTGCACTCCAGCCTGGGTAACAAGAGCAAAACTCCATCTCAAAAAACAAAAAACAAACAAAATAATTACTACAAATTATCCTTTATTATAAATCTAGATAGAAGAGGAGTTATGGGAAGAAGAATTTATTGAACGCTGTTTCCAAGAAATGCTGGAAGAGGAAGAAGAGCATGAATGGTTTATTCCAGCTCGAGATCTCCCACAAACCATGGACCAAATCCAAGACCAGTTTAATGACCTTGTTATCAGTGACGGCTCTTCTCTGGAAGATCTTGTGGTAAAAAGTTACTTTTCATCTTTTTAAAATGTAGTGCATCTTTTTCATGTCGAAAAGCCAGCTGCCATCTATTTAAGAATTCTACAGCCGGGCGCGGTGGCTCAAACCTGTAATCCCAGCACTTTGGGAGGCCGAGGCGGGTGGATCACAAGGTCGAGAGATCGAGACCATCCTGGTCAACATGGTGAAACCCCGTCTCTCCTAAAAGTGCAAAAAATTAGCTGGGCATGGTGGCACGTGCCTGTAATCCCAGCTACTCAGGAGGCTGAGGCAGGAGAATTGCCTGAGCCCAGGGGGCGGAGGTTGCGGTGAGCCGAGATCGCGCCATTGCACTCCAGCCTGGGTAACGAGAGTGAAACTCCGTCTCAAAAAAAAAAAAAAAAAAAAAAAAAAAAAAAAAAAAATTAGCTGGGCCGGGCGCGGTGGCTCAAGCCTGTAATCCCAGCACTTTGGGAGGCCGAGGCGGGTGGATCACAAGGTCGAGAGATCGAGACCATCCTGGTCAACGTGGTGAAACCCCGTCTCTACTAAAAATACAAAAAATTAGCTGAGCATAGTGGCGCATGTCTGTAATCCCAGCTACTCAGGAGGCTGAGGCAGGAGAATTGCTTGAACCCAGGAGGCGGAGGTTGCGGTGAGCCGAGATTGCGCCATTGCACTCCAGCCTGGGTAACAAGAGCGAAACTCCGTCTCAAAAAAAAAAAAAAAAAAAAAGAATTCTACATTTCTTCCCCTTCAGAAATTATGCTGCTCTGGCTAGGCATGATGGCTCATGCCTGTAATCTAGCGCACTTTGGGAGGCCGAGGTGGATGATCACTTGAGGTCAGGAGTTTAAACCAGCCTGGCCAACATGGCAAAATGCCATCTGTACTAAAAATACAAAAATTGGCTGGGCACAGTGGCTAATGCTTATAATTCCTGCACTTTGGGAGGCCTAGGTGGGTGGATCACCTGAGGTCGGGAGTTCAAGATCAGCCTGGCCGACATGGTGAAACCCCATCTCTACTGAAAATATAAAAATTAGGTGGGTGTGGTGGCACATGCCTATTATCCCAGCTACTTGAGAAGCTGAGGCAGGAAAATGGCTTGAACCTGGGAGGCAGAGGTTGCAGTGAACGGAGATCAAACTATTGCACTCCAACCTAGGCAACAGAGTGAGAGTCTGACTCAAAAAAAAAAAAAAAAAACTGGGCGAGGTGGCTCATGCCTATAATCCCAGCACTTTGTGAGGCCGAGGCAGGTGGATCATGAAGTCAGGAGTTCGAAACCATCCTGGCCAACACAGTGAAACCCCATCTCTACTGAAAAATTAGCTGGGTGTGGTGGTGCGTGCCTATAATCCCAGCTACTCAGGAGGCTCAGGCAGGAAAAGCACTTGAACTGGGAGGCGTAGATTGCAGTGAGCTGAGATCGTGTCATTGCACTCCAGTGTGGGCAGCAGAGCTAGACTCTGTCTCAAAAAAAAAAAAAAAAAAAAAAAACAGAAAAAAGAAATTGTGCTGCTTTTTTTCAGTGAAAGCAGAGTCTCACGATGTGGAGTGACTTCTGGCAACACTGTGGAGCTAGTCTTAGACTTCTAGCTCCTGCTTTTAGTCCTGATGTTGCCCTAGGGTACTTAAATGTCCTAAAGAATTACCAATTTTAAAACACAATATTACCATGTTACTTGCCTATATAAAAATAGCTTGATGGAGAAGTTTTGCTCTTTAATCTTGCCTTGGCTGAGCATGGTGGCTCACGCCTGTAATCCCAGCACTTTGGGAGGCCGAGGCCGGCAGCTCTTGAGGTCAGGAGTTCAAGACCAGCCTGACCAACATGGTGAAACCCCATCTCCACTAAAAATACAAAAATTAGCAGAGCATGGTGGTACATGCCTGTAATCCAAGCTACTTGGGAGGCTGAAGCAGGAAAATTGCTTGAACCCAGGAGGTGGAGGAGATTATGGTGAAACATGCCATTGCACTCCAGCCTGAGTGACGGAGTAAGACTCCATCTCAAAAAAAAAAAAACTTAAACATTCAGTGAAATACGCAAATTTTTATCTGAAAGGTAAAAATTTCAGAGATCTTTTCCTGACCCAGGATTTCATTGACGTACCCAGTTTGTTTGGAACTGTGGTTTAATAAAGAATTTTACGGCCGGGCGCGGTGGCTCAAGCCTGTAATCCCAGCACTTTGGGAGGCCGAGGCGGGTGGATCACGAGGTCAAGAGATCGAGACCATCCTGGTCAGCAAGGTGAAACCTCGTCTCTACTAAAAATACAAAAAGTTAGCTGGGCATGGTGGCACATGCCTGTAATCCCAGCTACTCAGGAGGCTGAGACAGGAGAATTGCCTGAACCCAGGAGGCGGAGGTCACGGTGAGCCGAGATCGCGCCATTGCACTCCAGCCTGGGTAACAAGAGCGAAACTCCGCCTCAAAAAAAAAAAAAAAAAGAATTTTACAAGCTCTTAGCAGAAAAGAGACACAAACCTAGATTTGCATTTTTGTTATTCTTAGTGTCTCATTGCTAATGATATAAAAAGTTTTCTTTGGGAATTGTGATAACTAAATATCACCACTAGAGGAGAACTGGTAAGGTCCACTGAACTAATCTGTACTCCGTAATTACCTATGAAGCATTAAATACAAAAATCAGTTCTTTAGTTGCATCCCAGCATGCTCAGTTGTCTGGGCATGTTGATTTTTTTAAAGTACTCCAGAAGATTTATTATATAGCCAACCTGTCTGAATTGGGCATTTTGAAACCATTCTTCTAAAGGATGGTGTAGAGAACACTGATATTTACATAGCCTTTGTTGCAGTAAGTGATGGTAACCCATTTGAGCAGCCGTATGATCTGAACAGTCTCGGTGGGTATGATTACTTACAGCTACATTAGTCACCATAAATAATCCCAGTTGCCCTGTAATGTATAACTTTAATCTGTACCCTGTATAATTCCATAGTACAGAAGCTGATTTGTTTTTCTCAGTCTATTTGATACTACTTTGTTTCATTGTTATTCTTCTGTGACTCTGAAAAGATTGTTCATTTAAGAAGATTATGTTGTGGTCATCCCAGCACTTTAGGAGGCCAAAGTGGGAGGATCACTTTGACTCAGGAGTTTGAGACCAGCCTGGGCAACATAAGGAGACCCTGTCTCTACAAAAAGTTTAAGTTAGCTGGGTGTGGTGTCACAGGCCTGTGGTCCCAGGTACTAGGAAGGCAGAGGCTAGAGGATAGCTGGAGCCCAGGAGGTCAATGCTATAGTGAGCTGCGATTATGACAGTGCACTCTAGAATGGGCAACAAAACGAGTCCGTCTCAAAAAAGAGAAAAAGAATGCTGTTTTTCCCCCTAAACTTCACACTTTTTTTTTTTTTTTTTTTGAGACAGAGTTTCACTCTTGTTACCCAGGCTGGAGTGCAATGGCGCGATCTCGGCTCACCGCAACCTCCGCCTCCTGGGTTCAGGCAATTCTCCTGCCTCAGCCTCCCGAGTAGCTGGGATTACAGGCACGTGCCACCATGCCCAGCTAATTTTTTGTATTTTTAGTAGAGACGGGGTCTCACTATGTTGACCGGGATGGTCTCGATCTCTTGACCTCGTGATCCACCCGCCTCGGCCTCCCAAAGTGCTGGGATTACAGGCTTGAGCCACCGCGCCCGGCAACTTCACACTTTTAAAGTGTAGATACAGTATTTCCCTTGGAGGAAGGGAGCATATATCCTGTCCAAAGAAACTGCTGTGTATAAATTACAAAACTAAAATTATTTTTCCAACATGGTGTTGGAAAAATATTATGCAATAGTCTTGAAGTGATGTAAGGTCAAATTCAGTGTAAAAGCCTGCCAGCGTACCTACATTTCAGGCCCTGGAACCTGCCCTCATTTCTTTTTATTTTTATCAACTTGCAATCTAAAATATCGCAGAGGAAAATTTCTAGCTGTTCTTCCTGGATGCTGACAAGTCTACTTAGGATAGTAAAGATTTAGCGACATAGCATAACATTGGTACAAGTCTCTAAGACTCAGACTTTGCCCCCCCGCCCCCTTTTTTTTAACTGATGCAAAAAAATGGAATCCCAGAGAAAAGTGACTTATCTGAATTTACATAGAAGTTAGGGGTAGAGGTGGGATATTGGACTTAGGTCTTCTTGTTTCCCATGCAGTTGTCTTTTCCTGTTATTTGCCATGCTTCCTGTGGGAATTAGAAGATGGCAATTGTCGAAAAACAACTCCATGTTTTTAGTGAGGATTCTAAAGTAGAATTAATCCATCAAACAATTCTCCACTAACTTTAATCATAATTTCAACACTTGCTTAGCATGTTTCCTTGGTATTTGGTGTTTAAAGAAAGCTACATACCATAATTGAATTAACAGAATTCCTTCTTCAGTGCTATTCCTTTAATTTATATGACGTTATTGGATTTCGGATTACACTTAAGCAAACTGAATTTGAATTCCTACTTTCTCTTTAGAAAATTGATATAATTTGATATGATATATAGGTTACATCTGGTCCCTCCTTTTTGGGGTTAAGTGTAGTCGTACAGTTCTTTTGTCTTACTTTTTGAAAGGTGTTTTTGCATAAGGATCTAGGTTGAATTGAGTATCTGAAACTATCTGTTAACGAACTTGCTTTTTTATATACTTATTTTCCAGGTCAAGAGCAATCTGAATCCAAATGCAAAGGAGTTTGTTCCTGGGGTGAAGTACTAAAATATTTGAGTAGACGGGGCCCTCTTTTGGTGGATGTAGCACAATTTCCACACTGTGAAGGCAGTATTAGAAGACTTAATTGTAAAAGCTCTCTCTTGTCACTGTGTTACACTTATGCATTGCCAAAGTTTTTGTTAGTCTTGCATGCTTAATAAAAGTGCTGAGACTGTTATTAAGTAAAAAGCTGTCAAACATTTACTGAAAATAGAATTGGCCCCATGGCTTCATGTGAAGACAGCAAGGAAAGAAGCACCAGTCAAGTTGTGAACAAGCACCAAATTAAAAGACCTAAACCTTACTAAATTGTCTTTTTTTCAGGCTAAACTGGTCTCTTAATGTTAACTAACACTTGTGTCTAAACTTTAAAATCAGTAAATTTAATTTGAGTTCCAACTGTTAAGCATATTTGAGATAATTTGTTGTAGACAGGTATGTCATATGACTGAGGCTACAAGGTAGTTAGCAGATGAATGCCAGTCCAGGTTTTTCTGATACGTTATTGTGTTAGAAATACTGAGTTCTAATGTTACATCTGAGGAAGTATATAATTGGAGAATTGTAACTTCTAAGGGATTCACTGCATCATAGGTATGCCTGTGTGGATTCTAACATATGACCAATACCAACCCATAATCCAGCTGAACAAAGATACTGTAACATTATGATTTGAGTGGTGCTTTTCCTTGCTTTGTTAACCATCACAAGAGTCTGCAGCACAACTTTTCTTTTAACAAAGCTAGAACAGTTTTGGCTTCTTAAACTTCATATTTGGGTAGGTTAAGCTGCCATACGTGTTCAGTGTGAATAGTGTTTAAGTTGAAAATATTGTAAAAAAATTATATTTTTTCAAAAATATTTAAAAAAATAAATAATAGTAGAACTGAGCAGATGGTTGTTTTTATTGGTGCTGGAATGTACTGTAGTGTCGTTACTTTAGTATGGGCCTAGTGCCTCAGGACTACCTTGCTGGCAGAAATGCTAAGCGATCAGACTTTGTTAGATTCCAACTAACAGATATGTTGCCGTGCAAGTATCTGTTCAGAATACAGCAGTAGAATAACTCCATTGTCCATCCTTGCTTCTTAATCACCTCAGGCTGCAGTGTCAGGGGAATCCTAGACAGCCATGTAAGAAACTTTATGACTGACCAATATGATGGTGACCTTACTTTAATAGAACTTCCATTGTCTTTTGTTTTTTCACAAGGGCTCTTCTTGAGCTTGTTAGGTTGAAAAAGATGAAGAAAGCCATGTAGTCATTTCTGACTCACATTCTTCTGGGAGAGGGGTTCTTTGGTGTGTGCACCTGTGCCCCAGTGTGTGGGGTTATTTTGGGCTTTTTGTTTGTTTTGGAGACGAAGCCATGCTCTGTTGATCAGGCTGGAGTACAGTGGCGCCATTTCAGTTCATTGCAACCTTCACCTCCCAGGTTCAAGCAGTTCTCCTGCCTCAGCCTCTCTGGTAGCTGGGATTACAGGTGCACGCCACTATGCCCGGCTAATTTTTGTATTTTTTTTAGTAGAGACGGGATTTTGCCAAGTGTTGGCCAGGTTGGTCTCGAACTCCTGACCTCAGGTGATCTCTCACAAGAATGAAGATTCTCAAATGTAGCTTTTGTTGTGGAAAATTTTTTAAAAAGAGGGCTCTAGCCAGACTTCTCGATGTCAATCCTGTGATCGTGGCCATGTCACTTAACCCTCTGTGCCTTCCTTTCCACATCTCTAAAATGGCAGTAATAACTGTCTCTGGATTATGTGAGTAGTTAATACATATAAGCATTTAAGACAGTCTCTGGCACATAGAAAGTCCTGTTTTAAGTGTTGTTATTTTTACTATGAGGAGTCATTTAGGCTAACCTCTCTTTTTTTTTTTTTTAAGACAGAGTTTCGCTCTTGTTACCCAGGCTGGAGTGCAATGTCGTGATCTCAGCTCACCGCAACCTGTGCTTCCTGGGTTCAGGCAATTCTCCTGCCTCAACTTCCTGAGTAGCTGGGATTACAGGCACACGCCACCATGCCCAGCTAATGTTTTGTATTTTTAGTAGAGAGGGGGTTTCACCATGTTGACCAGGATGCTCTCGATCCCTTGACCTCATGATCCACCAGCCTCGGCCTCCCAAAGTGTTGGGATTACAGGCGTGAGCCACCGCGCCCGGCCTTAGGCTAACCTCTCTTTTTGAGAACTTTTCTTGTCTGAGGGAACATGCACGTTGAAACCATGTCAGTGTTTAATTAGAGAGCCAGGCATCTGCATTCAGATAGTGACAGAGGGTTTCTGAGCATCAGCTGCCCATGTGTTACGAAGCCCTAAGGACAAATGATCACCTCATCAGGGCCTGTACAGGCATCGTTTTAGGATAAAGGCATCCTGTTTTAGAGGGTTTTAATTTTACGATGTTATTGAAATAAGGTACAGTGTATATGAGAGGATTTTTCATGTTCTTGTGCTGTTCTTCTCAACCTTTTCCATGTTACATATCAAAGTGATACTTGTTTAGCATACTGGAGTACAAGAATGAGGTTGCCCGTGGCTGGAGTTCTTAGCTCAAGAACTCCAGTTGGCCCAGATTTTGCCCAGGTGTATGGAAGGCTAGAGGATCTGCATTTCAGCATACTTGTAGCCTCTTAGTGGCCCATACCAGTTGAGAAGTTCTGCTCTTACTATGAAATGGCAAAGGAATTCCACTTAAAATCCATATATTGACTTTTTACCGAGTTCACCTTCTCTTTGAGGACATTGAAACAGGTTACAAGAAAGGAAACTGAGTAGTTTGGTTTTAGCATAAGAATGTTTTGATTTTTCAACCGTCTCACAAAAACTATAGACACATCCTACCTTTCCTGGAAGTCATTTTTTAGACCTTGGTGCACACAGATGCAGTTTCTGTATTTTCTGGAGTGTCTTCTGGAATTGGAAACTGATCTTTTGAACTTGAAGAAAATCCTTTGAAGACTGGGCAGATAGGAATGTATTTCAGAAAAGCAGTTCTCTTTACTATGCCCATCCCAATGGGGAAGTCATAGCTCTTGAGGCTGGAAGACGTGTCACTGTTGGCATGAGCCCCAGCTTTCCACTGTATCAGACCACGCTCCTCTGGGCTCCCTGGAAGAGGACAGTGGGGTCATTTACTAGGGTCAGCAACCCTCAGCTGCCTCTTACTTCCCATAACCCAGTCCTAAGGCAGACTTCTGGAATCAAGTATCTTTCTTAACTATCATCTGGTCCTAAAAAGCAGCTGTATCATTTCTGAGCTCCTAACTTGGCCAGAGCTCTAAGGAACACTAAAGGATACTAGTTATAATTAGTATTTATTATGTAACTACAGTGTGCCAGGCTCTGTGCTAAGTGTTTTAATTTCATTATCTTGTTTCTTCAAAACATACCCCTGGGAGGTGTATAGGCACCATTACACAAAATTTTAAGACGAAGAAAGGGAAAAAAGGTGAAGTAGTTGTCAACCTAAACCTGTGTGTGGCTAATGTGTGTTAGGCCCCTGGGGACCAAATTGGGCCGAGATTGTGTTCTGGGGTTAAGGGAGGCATATTTTGAAACACTATAATCAGTATTAATATTTAGTATTATGATTCTGTATGTAAAAAATAAACTCATTTACGATACAAACTTCAGAAAGTCAAGCTAAATAAAATCTTTGATGGAGGTAGGAATATGACATTTTATTTATATATATGTATATATACACACACACACACATATATACATATATATACACATACACACACACACATATGTATATATAATTTTTTCTTTTTTTTTGAGACAGAGTCTTGCTCTGTCGTCCAGGCTGGAGTGCAGTGACTTGATCTCGGCTCACTGCAACCTCCACCTCCCAAGTTCAAGCAATTTCTCCTGCCTTAGCCTTCCGAGTAGCTGGGGTTACAGGCACATGCCACCACACCGGCTTATTACTGTATTTTTAATAGAGATGGGTTTTACCATGTGGGCCAGGCACTAGTCTCAAACTCCTGACCTCAAGTGATCCACCCACCTAGGTCTCCCAAAGTCCTGGGATCACAGGCATGGCCATTGCACCCGGCCAATAATTTTTACAACTAGGAATTCTTCCTCAGGTCGGGGAGGGGCACATGAGATCTTGGGTTTTCATAAGAGGGCTGGCATTGACAAAGACTGAAATACTGTAAATGTAGCAGAAGGAGTGGAGATGTCCACTTGCTGGCAGCCCAGGCCGAGAACAACCCTGTGAGTAACACAAACCAACTCATGTTTCAGAATCTTACAGGAGGGCACTGAGGGAAAGTGGAGTCCTCAGGGAAGACTACCTGGAAGAGACACTGTTTGACTGGGCTTGGCTGTACAAAGAGCACACACAGATGGGCAGAGTAGAGTGGGATGAGCCATAGTTATGGCATAGGATTATATTCTTGGCGTCTGATTACCTTACACCACTGCCAAAACACATGGCAGCCAGACCAGAGCTTTCTCTAGCCAACCAGTCAGCCTGCCCACTACATCCCGACCTTCAGTGCCTTCTCTACTTCTCCAAGCCCCTTCCTTTTTCCTAGGCCTCACCTACTCTCCCTCATCAGGAAACCCTGCCAATAACTCCAGCCCAGCTTCACTGGCTTCATTGTGCACTTAAATCCAGTTTTACCACCTATCTTGTGCCAGGAGCTCCTCTAAACAAATTGTTACTGACTTAACACTTTTTGGAATATCCTCTCAGTGTCTGATTCTGGGCTAAGCTGGTAAGCTCTAGCAGCATTTGCTGAACTAAGTGGACTGCCCTCTATGGTTGGGCTATGGATAGGTAAAGAGAAAGAGCAAGTGCAAAGTAGCCCATCCCCAGCAGGAAGTTAAGGACTGAGAAAGTCTTTTGCTACTCCATGGTTAAGGATGGGGTTTTGAAACAGCTAGACCTTGGTATGAATCCAGTTTGTGTGACCTTAGGCAAGTGACTTAACCTCCTTGAGCTTTAGGTTCCTCAGTGTATACTGCTGAGCTTATGTGGCGTGACACACACGGTGATTCCTGGCAGGGATGGTTATGATGCTCAGACGGGTTGAAAGGTGAGGTGTGAGGGACTCAGGCAGTTCTGCAGCTGTCTTTAAAGACAGCTGGAGGCTGGGCGCGGTGGCTCAAGCCTGTAATCCCAGCACTTTGGGAGACCGAGGCGGGTGGATCACAAGGTCGACAGATCGAGACCATCCTGGTCAACATGGTGAAACCCCGTCTCTACTAAAAATACAAAAAAATTAGCTGGGCATGGTGGCGCGTGCCTGTAATCCCAGCTATTTAGGAGGCTGAGGCAGGAGAATTGCCTGAGACCAGGAGGCGGAGGTTGCGGTGAGCCGAGATCGTGCCATTGCACTCCAGCCTGGGTAACAAGAGCGAAACTCCGTCTCAAAAAAAAAAAAAAAAAGACAGCTGGATAGCTCAGTCTAGCTACCCAAGTCATGAAGAAGCCTCTTGATAAACAGGCGCCTCTACTCAGATGCTCTCCATCTCCTCATATTCCCTAGGCATTGAGGCTGCCATGACTGTCTCAGGGCTATAGGATGGTCTGTTCCAGCCCCCAGTTCAGCATCCTTTAAATGAGAAGGGGTGAGTACCATGTTCAAATACCCACCCATCCACCCACAGGACAGCTGCTACCAAGAGCACCCTCCTTTGATTCTGCCTAAAATCCTATGGAGAACCCTGGCCCTCCTCTGTCCTTCCCACTTTGAGAGAGGGAGGCCAACCAAGGTGGGCGTATCACCTGAGGTTGGGAGTTTGAGAACAGACTGACCAGCATGGAGCAACCCTGTCTCTACTAAAAATACAAAACTAGCCGGGTGTGGTGGCACATGCCTGTAATCCCAGCTACTCAGGAGGCTGAGACAGGAGAATGGCTTGAGCCTGAGGCAGAGGTTGCTGTGAGCCAAGATAGCACCATTGCACTCCAGCCTGGGCAACAAGAGCGAAACTCCGTCAAAAGTGTATACATACATACATACACACACACACACACACACACACACACAGAAGAGAGAGAGAGGTGGCCAGTTGTGGTGGCTCACACCTATAATCCCAGTACTTTGGGATGCTGAGGCTGGAGGATCACTTGAGCCCAGGAGTTTGAGACCAACCTTGGCAATAAAGTGAGACCCCATCTCTACAAAAAATTTAAAACAGCTGGGCATGGTGGCATGCACCAGTAGTCCCAACTGCTTGGGAGGCTAAGGCAGGAGGGTCACTTAAGCCCAGGAGTTTGAGGCTGTAGTGAGCTGTGATTGTGCCACTGCACTCCAGTATGGGTGACAGACTAAGACCCTGTCTCAATTAAAATACATATCCCAGATTTGTGATGTTTTAATTTTGTGACTATGACTTCGTGGTCATAGTTTTTGAGGATGAAGTAAGACACTTCGCTCTGCCTCACCTATAGTAGATGTTTGGTAAATGTTAACTGTTTGTTATCAGAGCACTGGTGACATTTATTTTATACATTTACTGGCACCTTTTAGCGGGCCCCACAAAGTATCCTCAATCTTTGCAAAAAGCTCTGGTACCAGAGGGAGATGTTGGTGGCTCTTCTAGTCGCCATTGTGACATATTTGGAATGGATGGATTTTGCCAACAAACTGATGCTGCATTTATCTGTGTCCTGCTCTTAAGAAAGCAAATATACGGACAGGCGCGGTGGCTCAAGCCTGTAATCCGAGCACTTTGGGAGGCCGAGGTGGGTGGATCACGAGGTCGAGAGATCGAGACCATCCTGGTCAACATGGTGAAACCCCGTCTCTACTAAAAATACAAAAATTAGCTGGGCATGGTGGCTCGTGCCTGTAATCCCAGCTACTCAGGAGGCTGAGAGGCAGAATTGCCTGAACCCAGGAGGCGGAGGTTGCGGTGAGCCGAGATTGCGCCATTGCACTCCAGCCTGGGTAACAAGAGCAAAATTCCATCTCAAAAAAAAAAAAAGAAAGAAAAGAAAGCAAATATACCCCTCAGCCCGGTGGCTGTTAGAAAATAGATGTCAGGCACAGTGGCTCATACCTGTAATCCCAGCACTTTAGAAGGCCAAGCCGGGTGGATCACCTGAGGTTGGAAGTTCAAGACCAGCCTGACCAACATGGTGAAACCCCATCTCTACTAAAAATACAAAATTAGCAGGGCATGGTGGCACATGCCTGTAATCCCAGCTACACAGGAGGCTGAGGCAGGAGAATCGCTTGACCAGGAGGCGGAGGTTGCAGTGGCCAAGATTGGGCCATTGTAGTCCAGCCTGGGCAATAAGAGCGAAACTCCATCTCAGGAAAAAAAAAAAAAAAAAAAAAAAAAAGGCCAGGTACAGTGCCTCATGCCTGTAATCCCAGCACTTTGGGAGGCCGAGGTAGGCAGATCACTTGAGGTCAGGAGTTCAAGATCAGCCTGGCCAACATGGTGAAACCCCATCTCTACTAAAAATAACGAAAATTAGCTGGGTGTGGTGGCATGCACCTGTAGTCCCTGTCACTCAGGAGGCTGAGGCAGAAGAATCACTTGAACCTGGGAGGAGGAGGTTGCAGTGAGCTGAGATTGCACCACTGTACTCCAGCCTGGGCAACAGGGTGAGACTCCGTCTCAAAAAGGAAAAAAAAAAAGAATGGCCGGACGCGGTGGCTCACGCCTATAATCCCAGCACTTTGGGAGGCTGAGGCGGGTGGATCACGAGGTCAAGAGATCGAGACCATCCTGGTCAACATGGTGAAACCCCGTCTCTACTAAAAATACAAAAATTAGCTGGGCATGGTGGCGCATGCCTGTAGTCCCAGCTTCTCGGGAAGCTGAGGCAGGAGAATTGCTTGAATCCAGGAAACGGAGGTTGCGGTGAGCCGAGATTGTGCCATTGCACTCCAGCCTGGGTAACAAGAGTGAAACTCCGTCTCAAAAAAAAAAAAAAAGAAATGGAAGAAATGGAGAGGAAAGGATTCATAGGACTCAACAGTGACTCTCCTGGCCCCATCCTCTTCAAGACCTCTGAGGCATGTCTGTGCCTCATTCTGTCCCTCTAGCCTGTGGGCACTCCACCAGCTTACCTGTTCCTGCAAGGCCTGCATTGCCTGGGACCTAGCCACAGCTCCAGCTTAGAGGCCGTCTGTTGGAATGCATGAGTTCAGCCTAGTTTTTCATTCCCCTCCCAGGACAGAACCATACCTGGCACTGTGTTGTCAAGTATGAAAGCAAGGCACCCGCCCACAAACATCTCCGTGGTCAGCAGCACCGTCAGAATCTGATCCACTTCAAGAATGCCTGTGGAATAGGCCAAGGGCCAATGGGTGTCATGGTTCAATCTAGAGATCAGAGTTCAGGGACTTTCTCTTGTGCAGCCATGGCAAATGAACAGTACAAATCTCTGTCTCAAACCTATCTGTGCCTCTGTCTTTCCTATCTCTGGGTTCAAATCCCAATTCTGCCAGTTGCTTGCCAGTTGTTGACTTGGGACAAGTCACTGAACCTCTCTGAGCCTCATGTTCCACATCTGTAAAGTTGAAATGATAATGGATAAATAATAAATATAGATCAATAGATAAATAGAGCTGTTTTGAAAATTAAATGAGCACATGTAAAGCTCAATATCTGTCCACAGGAAGTGTCTTAGTAAAGGGCAGCTGTGACCCAGCCTCTCAGCTGTTGATTCACATCGAGTTGGGTGGGATTTGTGCCTCTAGTCGTGTGGAGCCTTTGAGGGAGGAGGCTGTGCTCAAAATTTTGGGCCCACCCCACCTTTGGAGACAGTAAACAGCAGGAGGCACCTGTATTGATGGCGCCAGGGTTCGACTCCAGGTAATTGGGCAGCGTGAGCCCGAAGAACATGGAAAATCCGAGCACGAAGAGGTTGCGAGAGGAGTTCATGTCCACGAACTGCAGGTTGGACAGCCCCACAGCTGTAATCATGCCTAAGGGCGCAGGAGAACCTCTGGAGCGCCGCGCACGCGCAGTCCATGCGGGCCCCCACCACTCGGCGACCCGCGCCGCGCTCCAGGGCTCGCGCCAGACACTCACCAAAGAGAGTGCAGAACATGCCCCCCAGGATGGGGTCAGGGAGCGAGGCGAAGAGGGCCGTGAACTTGCCGATAGTGCCCAGGACCAGCATGATAACTGCACCGTACTGCACCACGCGCCGGCTGCCCACCTGCCAGGGAGCCAGGGGCGGAGCTAGACCTGGGGGCGAGGCTGGGGCGGGGTTAGGTCCGGGGGAGGGGTCTGTTATAAGAGGGAGGCAAAAACCGGCTGGGGCTTCATGCGGGGGCAAGGCCTCTCAAAGACAGGGTGGGGCTAAATCAAAGTTGGGACCGGGTTGGGGCGGGGCCTGCAGCCCAAGGAATTAGGGCGGGACTTGGCGCTGCTCCGGCTCTTCGCGACACCTTGGTAATCCCCAGAACGCCAATGTTGGGACTGGAGGAGGTGGACCCGTTGCCCGTGCCCAATAGTCCCGCGATGATGCAGCAAATGCCTTCGGTGAAGATGCCTCTGTAAGAAAAGGGTGAGTCCCGGAAACTCAGTCCAGCCTCTGCACCAGCCTGTGTTCCTCCCTACTCCCACGCCTACTCCTGTGGGCAATTCTGGCCTTCAGTTTCCTCCTCTGTAAAATGGGGATAAATGCTGGTGCCCGTCTCACAAATGCTTGACAGATTGCATAAGAACGCACAGCCAGAGCCGGGCACAAGGAGGGCTCTCAATGACGGTGGTTCCCCTCGGACTCTGCCATCTACTCAGCTACTCCCAGCAACCACACAGAGGGTGATGAGAGGGCACCCTGATCGCATGCGCAATGAGGTCTGGAGTGTGTTCCCGACTTGCCCAAACCTACCCCCTGGGCCTCCACCCCGTTCCTGTGTGTGCTTCCTTGTGGGAGTCCTGAGATCAGATACTGAGGAGGGCAGGTAGGCTACCTGTTGATAGCATGTACTGGAGGGGGTGGGGCACCAGCCAGGCGCGCACAGGCGTAGTAATCTCCGATGGACTCAATGATGCCTGCTAGAGTCGCGCTGAACATTCCCAGGACGGCAGCCGCAGTTACTGTGGGCAGGCCCCACTGACCTGTGCCGGAGGGAGGCCGGAGGGTAGTTACAGTGAGGAGACTGTGATGGTCAGGAATAGACAGTGCAGTGCTGGAGGGCGCAAGGGCAGGTAAGGGGACCTTGAACTGGGATGGGAGCCGTACAGTTGTGGGAGCTTATTTGGGTCACTCAGAGTCAGGAAGTGGGACTGAAGATTTGTCTAAGTAAAACACCACTCTGCTGGGCGCACTATAAATGTGCAGCTAATGCTAGGTGTGTCACCTGCTGGATTGTAGTCACCAGGGGTCTGTCTTATAGGTGGTCTCAGTTGGGGGCAGAGGGGCCAAGTGGTGTTGCTCACAGGGATAGGGGATTCGGATCCAGGGTGCAATAGCCATGACATCACCACGGGCATCAGTTCGTGCCTGGAAGCCATAGGCTTTTGGGTCTGTGGGCAGCACGTCCGTCAAGGTCAGGACATAGCAGAGCAGCCATACGGTCATGATGGCCAGCATGATCTGAAGCAGGGGGGTAAGGGGGCGCTGAAGGCACTGGAGGTCTCAGTCGGTCCAGGCTAACCAGCTCCCACCTCAGCCAGAGTCCTGGCCATAGTCCCAGCCCCAGCCGCCTGCCAGGTCCTCACAGGAAACATTTTGAAGATCTGGATGCGGAGGACAGTGAGGCCCTTGCCCCAGCGGTAGACAGGCAGCAGGAAGGTGAGGTTGCGCAGGTACTGGGAGAAGAGGATGATCAGGAGAATGGAGCTGGGGGCAGAGGCACAATCAGGAAGTGGATGGTAGGCCAGGCTGGAGCCAGGAGCCAGGACGAAGGACATGAAGAGGGTGGGGTGCTGGGGCTGGGGAGGAATCAGGCCTGGTGCCTGCTCACCAAGCTGAGATGCCCCAGTGGGAGCCAGCTCGGTCGCCAGCAGCTTGGAAGACAGAGAGGCCAATGAGGGAGACAGTGGGGGTGACCGTGAGAGGCCCAATGTAGTTGAGCAGGGCCCCAGGCAGCCCCAGCAGGCCAATCACCACCTCCACCACGCTGGACACCATGATTGCACCCTGGACCTGGAAGGGCAAACATCAGCTGTAAGTCACCATGTAAAGACCATAACCTGGCGGCTAGCAGGATCAAAGCTCCTGGACCACCTCCTCAAATCCCCAAACTCAGTGGCCACCCTCACTCCCATATAGCCCCTCCTCAGGACCCAGCCTCTTCCACTCGAACATGCAAACCCACCTCCCGTATCCGTGGGTGCCAGATATGAGAGGTATTCAGGGGCAGACTCCAGTTACCGTAGATCTCCTCTGGGGGTTGAGTCAGGGACACACACGTGAACCAGGTACAGAGACAGACCGAGAGATGCTGCCATGGCTGCACCCTGGTGTCTGGACCCAGGACAGGCTCAGACCTCCAGGTCTCTAGACCTCCCCTTCTCCCCTGTGCAGACCCGAGAAGTGTACCCACCTTCCGGAGGGCATTTCCATCTCTCCAGAGCCAATATGGCTTTGGCTGGAACCAGAAATGCAAAGGCACTGGCCTGGAACAGAGGCAGCCTGGAGGAGCGGCAAGAGCAACAGGGGAGGGAGGGGTGGGATGGGGCAGGGTGGGGAGGAGGGATATAGTTGTAGGGAGATCGGGAAAGGAGGGCACAGAAAGAGGGACAGAGACACGAAGGACAAGGGCACATGGAAGTCGTTGAGGCCCCAGGGAAGACCATCTCTAACATTTTGGTGGCCCAAGGAAGAAAACAAATGGAGCTCCCAGCTCAAAACTTGCCCCCTTTCCTTCCTCCTGTCAGCTCCTGCACTGTGAGGAGAGAGCACAGGGCTGGAAGTGGACAGCTCAGTTCTGGAATCCAAGCTCCTCACACAGTCTTCCCCTGCCTGTCACTGCCCAAACAGCTCAAATGCCACCGGGTCTAGGGCTTTGCACTCAGGGCGTGGGGCCCCGGGAGAGTGGGCTGTTGAAGATGCCAGCACCGGCCTTGGGAGCCATTGGGCAGTATTCAGAACAGGCCTTAAGAGGGGAGAGCCGGCTGGGCGCTATGGCCCACACCTACAATCCCAGCACTTTGGGAGGCCAAGATGGGTGGATCACCTGAGGTCAGGAGTTCGAGACCAGCCTGACCAACATGGAGAAACCCCGTCTTTACTAAAAACACAAAATTAGCCAGGAGTGACAGTGCATGCCTATAATCCCAGCCACTTGGGAGGCTGAGGCAGGAGAATCACTTGAACCCACAAGGCTGAGGTTGCAGTGAGCCAAGATTGCATCATTGAACTCCAGCCTAGGCAACAAGAGTGAAACTCTGACAAAAAAAAAAAAAAAAAAAAAAAAAAAAAAAAAAAGGAGAGCCAGTGAGGGCACATTCCCTTAAACCTGCAGATGCCTGGTCTCTGAAATGCACCTAGATCAAGGTGCCCAGGGTCAAGGCCTCACTCTAAGGCTGGCCTGGGATAGGAGAAGCAGGTGGAGGTAGATAGCGGCTTTTTTGTCTCACCGGTATCCTCTGGGAGACCACCTGCTCCTGTTGTGTGGATCAGGAGTTGGGGGGGGCTGGGCAGCTCACCGGATGCCCAGGGTGGTCTGGATGAGAGTGGTGATGCCCACGCACGTGAAGATGGTGCCGATGAGCTGACTGACCATGTGTTGGTCATGGCCCACACACAGCGCCTCGGCCAGCAGGAAGGGCACGGCGATGGTTCCACTGAAGCATGTCAGGTAGTGCTGGGCAGAGGGAGGGAGCAGAGTGCATTAGGCAGGACCCCAGAGCTCCAGGGAGAGGGGACAACCTAGTGTCCTCACACCTGCATCAGCAAGCCTGGACCTGCGCTGTCCGCCCAGTACTGGCAGTCCCACAAGGGATTCCCTGAGAGCTACTGCTCACCACTCTGGGATTACTAATCTCTGCTCAAGTTATTCCTGCGGCTTCTGTGGAGTGGGCTCCACTCTCTGTCACCAACACTCCACCTGGCAAGCGTCACACGCCCCAAGGGAGTTCATCTTCTCTCAGGCCTCCTCTTCCCCAGCCCTGCCTGCTGACAGCCACTGTGCTGACCTCAGTTTTCTCTTCCTGTTACCCAAGATACCCTCTGCTGGCCAGGGAGGGGCTGGAGGCCCTGGGAAGTGCACAGAGTGAGGGCAGGGAGGGCCTGGGGACACACCTGGAAGCCCAGCAGGATGCACAGGTACCAAGGCGGCACGTCCTCAATCTTATACAACATGTCAAACTTGGGCTCTGTGGGCAGGGGCATCGGGGGGTCTCTGGTGGATTCATGCTGAGGGAAGCAGAGAGAAGTAGCTTAGGGTGGAGTAATGGGGACAGACAAAACTCCATTCTGCCCTGGAATCCATCAGGTAGCCCAAGTGGCCAGTCAGCAACTGAGAGTGGGGTCCCTGCCCTCCCCAGCAGTCCATCCACCCGGCTGCCACTCGCTCTGGCCACAGTTGTCTCCCCCTTCACATTGCTTCCTGCAGGGATGAGTCTACTGAGCCGACTTCCAGAGCCCTCAGGACCTGGCATTCTAGCCAGGGAAATGGACCCCTAAGTCAGAAGTCTTGGGAGACCACAGGAGAGGGGGCTGAGAGGGCTCAAGACTGTGGACAAGCCCAACCTGGTCCCACTTCTTCCCCCTGGAGATCCTTAGGATGTTACTGGAGGGGAGGGGAGGCCCCTCCTGAACCCCCACCTGAGTCAGCCAGTCCCAAAGCTGACACCTCCTTCACCCCCACGTCCACCCATCCCCCAGTTGCCACATTCAGTTTGGGCCAGTCACTCTTTATTGAGTTCATCAGAGCATTTATCTCTGGCCTCCACAGGCCCTCCCACCCCCACCCCACCACCTGCAGTCCCCAGCACCTGTGTCCGGCCCTCGGGGTCCTCCTGGGCCCTCATCTCTGGGGCACAGGTTTGAGCTGTTCCTGAGGAGAAGAGGGGATGACTTTACGAAGGCCAAGGAGGAGGACTTTACTCCACATATCAGGCATTGTTCGAAGTAAATCTGTAACCAGATGCCCAGCTCCGGATTGCGAAAGGGGGGCCCGTGCAAAGGTAACGTATTAACTTTCGCTAGAGTGGTAAAGGCCACCCGAGCCTCTGCCACATGTGTTCTTCCCTGCCTGCATCTGTGCCTGGGTGCCGGACCTGTTCTTGTTTTCCAAGAGAGGGCCAGAGTTGAGTTGAGGGGTGAGGACCAGAAGTTTACCAGGCCCCAGGTGAGGGGAGAGAAGAGGGAGTGGAAACCAGCATTTATTATGTAACACCCTGTATAAGGCCCTTCCTCACTTATTTATTTTTTTATTTTTTTGAGACAGAGTCTCACTCTTGTTGCCCAGGCTGGAGTGCAGTGGTGTGATCTTGGCTCACTGCAACCTCTGCCCGCTGGGTTTAAGCAATTCTCCTGCTTCAGCCTCCCGAGTAGCTGGGATTATAGGCATGTGCCACCACACCCAGCTAATTTTGTATTTTTAGTAGAGTCGGGGTTTCTCCATGTTGGTCAGGCTGGTCTCGAACTCCCGACCTTCAGGTGATCTGCCCACCTCAGGATCCCAAAGTGCTGGGATTACAGGCATAAGCCACTGCACCTGGCCCCTTCCCCACTTTTTAGTAACCGATTAATCATTATCATCATCATCACAGTCATTCTCGTTATTGAGGAATGGCCTGTGCCAAGAAACATGGATATGCACTGTCCCAAGTAGCCCCTGTGCTGGGCGGTATTCACCCCTTTCACAGCAGAGGAAACAGATTCAGTAGATGTGATTTGACCCAAGCCAAGCAGATAGCAAGGTTGCAGAGATCAATCCTAAAATTCAAGTTGGTCTAAGCTACCTTACCCCCACCACCCCGCACCCCTCAGGGTCCCTGAGGCAGGCAGCAGATGGGCCCCTCCCTGCAGGTGGAGCTGCCTAGGCTGGCCCGGCCTGGCCTGCACCCTGGGTCAGGACACCGATCCCTTTCCCCTCTCAGCCACGTAATTTCTGGGACCCAGTGCAAAGTAAGAATGTGGGGCCTTTGTTCCAAAAGTATAAAGAATTTAAAGACAGCCACAGCAGAGCACTGGATGGAGCATAGGGACTTTCTATGTGCCGGGCCCTGTGTGGCTGCCCAGCCCAGCCCAGGAAGGTAGTCCTGTGCCCAGCCCGTCTCCCTTCCTGGCAGGCCCAGCCTAGCCTGGCCCTAGGGCCTGAGGATGGCAGATGGGGACATGGGGTGGAGGTGCTAAGAGCTCAGTCTCCTCAGCTGGTGAGGGCCAGGCCTGAGGTTGCCATTCTGTTCCCCTCTGGGATGCCCCAGCCTCAGCACTCTAAGGTCCACCTACTTCTGAGTCGCTGTGCCCATGGCCAGGCCCTGCCCGAAGGGTCCAGGGGCAGCATCACTCTCCAGCTGGGCAGCAGCTTCATGTCACAGCCCTGAATCTGCCTGTGTGTCCGGCGTCGACACTTCCTTTGTCCGCCTGTCCTCTCCTCTCCCTCTTGGCTCCTGCTCCCAGATTTCCAAAGTTGCTGGACCAGTTTGAAGCCTCTGCAACTCCCCAGCACTTTCCTCTCCACCCTCTCCTCCCAGAACTCCCCAGGGGACTGTGGAGACCAAGCCCCACCCCTTGCACACACAGCTCCATGGACACTCAATTCAAGCCAAACCACATAACACGCATAGAGAACGAGGTGGAGAGCAAGGTCCCAGATCCACAGTAGCATGAAGGGGCCCACACACCCAGATCTGATGCAGCCTCTCATCAGCCCACAGAAACACAGGTCCACGTCATGGAGGCCTGGCTCCACACCCGGTCCTACTGGCAGTTTAGTGGGTTTCTTGGGTCCTGATTCTCCTCCCGGTGTCTAGGGGTTCTCTCCTGAGTGAAGGCCAGGGAAGATGGGGCTTCAGGCAGGTCCTGGAACAGGTAAAGGATGGAAGGGGCTGAGTGCAGCTCCCAGGAAAGCTCAAGTGGCCAGGGCCTGCCCGGGCACCTCCATTCCCCCCGCAGCCTACCTCCCCTGTCCCCTAAGTCTGAATCCCCTCCCAGCCTGCTACTACTCAGCCTGAGACTTGGCCCGAACCTCTTCTGTTTTGGTTTCTGCATCTGTCCAAGGGGGATTAGATTGTCTTCCTACACATGGCTCATGTGCAAAATAAAAGTTTTTTTTTTTTTTTAAGACAAAGTCTCACTGTGTTGCCAGGCTGGAGTGCAGTGGCATGATCTCGGCTCACTGCAACCTCTGATTCCTGGATTAAAGCTATTGTCCTGCCTCGGACTCCTGAGTACCTGGAATTATAGGCACCCGCCACCACGCCCAGCTAATTTTTGTATTTTTAGTAGAGACAGGGTTTCACCATGTTGGCCAGGCTGGTCTCCTACTCCTGACCTCATGATTCATCCGCCTCGGCCTCCCAAAGTGTTGGGATTACAGGGGAGAGCCACTGTGCCCAGCCCATAAAAGTATTTCTAAAAATAGGGGTTAGAATGTTCTGTCTTTCCTCTGAGGGCTTGGGCAGATCAGAGACACTCACAAAGCAAACTCAAAGTCCTGGTGCCACCGATCTATGGTTCCCAGACCTGGGCGGGGCCCAGGCCTCCTTTACTAAGGAAAAGGCTCCAGCCAGAAGAATTTCCAGGGAAAGCAGCATTGAGGACCAAACTGTTGAATCTGGCTGGTCAAAAACCCAGGGCCCAACCATACCAGCTGGAGTCAAAGGCAGAGTGCGGAAAGTGAACAGCTACTGAGTGTAGACCAGGTGAGCTGCGTGCTCTGGGAGGCGCAGACAGCATGGAGTGGCTGGAGTAGGTGTGCCACGAGGCGGCCTGTATGCAGCTGTCCTTGGTTCTCTTTTCTCATGATGGCTCTGAAGACCTGGGATGTCACTGAAACCGCCTTTGCAAAATTATGATTGAGACAGTGAAAGAGATCTAATTGAATCAGCTCCATCTTGCTTCTAATCTCCAACCTGTCCTTCTTCATTCCTGTGTGAAGGCTGAACTCACCTTGGCAGAAACTTAGTTTTTCCTTTATAGTTTAAAACAAAGGCAATAACAGCCCTTTGTCAAAGCAGATCTCCTTCTCGCCTGGGGACTGGATGGCTTTTGTAGGACTATTAGCCACAAGATTAGAAATGATGGTTTAGGAGTCATGCAGCTGGAGACTATAAGATTCTGACCCTCTCTAAACTGTTCTTAAGATCAGTGCTTGAGATACTTTACAGACCCTGCACTTGATGGATCGGCTGGCACCGCCCAGAACAATCTGTGGCTCCCACCGAGGAACTGACTCAGCATAAGGAGACAGCTCTGACTCCCTGTGATTTCATTCCTGACCAATCAGCATTCCTGGCTCACTGGCTTCCCTGCTATCCACCAAGTTGTCCTTAAAAAGTGCTCCCCAAATGGTCGGGGAGATGGATTTGAGTAATAAAGCTCTGGTCTCCTGTACAGCCAGCTCTGCATGGATTACTCTTTATTGCAATTCCCCCATCTTGAGAAACTGGCTCTGTCTAGGCTGTGGGCAAGGGGAACCCCTTAGACAGCTACATCACCACGCGATTGACGGCTCTCTCTTACCTCTGGAATTTGTAGGGATGTATATTGGGCCTGCCGTAGGAAGCATGTAATATTGTGAAATATATATTTGGTCTTTGACCTCATTTCCTGGAGTATAATTTTTAAAATCTTAAAATCCCCAAAGTGATGTCTTTTTGTGTGTTAATGATTGACTGATGGCTGGCAGCCCCTTGGGTAGCTTCAGGACAGGGGCTGGTCACCAGAGAAACCAAGGCAGGATTTCAGCCCCCCATCCCATCCTCGCCGAGGGAGGGCAGACAGGCTGGTGGATAAGTTGTTCACCAATGGCCAATGGCTTAAATCAGTCATGCCTATGTAGTGAATTCTCCAGAGAAACTCAAAAGGACAGGGTTCAGAAAGCTTCTGGATACTGAACACGTGGAGGTCCCTGAAGGGTGATGCGTCAATTGAGGGCAGCTCCAAGCCCATTCCCCATACCTTGCCCTGAGCATCTCTTCATCTGTATCCTTTGTAACATCCTTTATCAGAAACTAGTAAACATTTCTCTGAGCTCTATGAGCCACTCTAGCAAATTAGTTGAGCTCCAAGATGGAGCTGTGGGAACCTCATCTTGAAGCCAGTAGGCCAGAAGATCCAGAGGCCTGGACTTGGAACTGGCATCTGAATGGGGGCAGAACAGGGGACTGAGCCCTCAGCCTTGTGGCTCTGATGCTATCTCCAGGTAAATAGTGCCAGAATTGAATTTTGGAGGGCACCTAGCTGTTGTCGGCTGCAAAACTGCTTGCCTGGTGTGTGTGGGGGGAAGCCCCACACGTTTGGTCACAGCTGTCTTCTGTGTTGTTGTGTGATAGAATAGGAAAAGCATTTTGAAGGCCGGGCCCGGTGGCTCATGCCTGGAATCCCAGCACTTTAGGAGGCCAAGGTAGGCAGATCACCTGAGGTCTGGAGTTCAAGATCAGCTTGGCCAACATGATGAAACCCCGTCTCTACTAAAAATACAAAAATTAGCTGGGCATGATGGTGGGTGCCTTAATCCAAGCTACTTGGGAGGCTGAGACAGGAGAATTGCTTGAACCCAGGAGGCTGAGGTTGCAGCAATCTGAGATCACCCCACCGCAGTCCAGCCTGGGTGACAGAATGAGACTCTGTCTCAAAAAAAATTTGATTTGAGAATTTTTTTTTTTTTTTTCTTAGAAGGACTATCAGCAGAAATACCAATGTCTGTACTCCCAGCCCTCCAAGGACCTTTTGCAGAGAGAATAAGTGAGGTCACTGGGTTTTATTTGAGTCCAGAGGGGAAGGCCTTGGCTCCTACCCAGGCCCCAGTGCCCTGGAGCTGGAGGAGGGAGGCAGGGTGGTAGCACAGAGCAAGGCCTTCCTGCCCTCCTGGCTGTCTGCAGATGGGGAGTGGAGACCCTCAGAGCAAGCCCAGCTTCCTTCAGAAGAAGGCACAGTCTGGCACTAGAGTTCTTCTCTTGCATTTGACATCTCCTCCGAGCAGGCCCCGTGGGGCCCCCCACACAGCAATGCCTCCAGAGCCCCTCGGCCTTGTTGGTGGGCTTCATAGATCTGGTCTTCTCCAAACTCCCCCAAGTAGTGAAAACAGGTCCTGGAGAGCCTAGGGGAACCCAGCAGGAGACTCAGATGCTGCTCAGTCCACAGTGGGGCAAACCAAGGCTCCAGAAGCTTCATTCTATTCCCCAAACCCCAGGCATCACCTGGTAGGCCAGGGGCCCCCTGTGACCATCACGCTGATGCTTGGCTCTCGCCCCTCGCTAAGTCCTGGGCCTGTGAGGTGTTTCACTTGGTCCACTTCTCGAACTCCATAGCTGGTGGCAGTGGGGAGAAGAATACAGCTTTGGCAAGGAGAGACTCATCTCCACACCAAGCTGGACATGCTGGGCATTTGCAGAATTCAGAGAGGGAAAGCCCTTGGCCCAAGGTCACTGTCTGCTGGCCACCTGCTCTCCCCCACTGGCTCTCAGCTCCAGAGCCCAGACTTCATCCCAGCCAGACCCTCTCTTGGACCAGAGTCCTAGTGGAGTATACGTGTGGGGTAGCGGGTGAGTGGGAATCTCCACCCACTAGCCCTGACCTTGGAGGAGGGAGGTGGAGGCAGAATTGGCAACTCACTCCTGCCAGTTCCGAGAGCAGCTCCGGTCCAGGACATCCAGGTAGACAGACTCGCTCAGCTCCCGCTGCCCCCCGGAGTTTGGGGAATGAAGTTTGGTCTCTGCCTCTGCTAGATTTTGCCACATCTGGAGCAAGGAGGGAGTAGGAGCCAGGGCCTCAGGACTGCTGCTCAGTTGGGGGGAGGTGGGGAGAATAGGAGCTGAGTCTCTGGGGAGAATGAGGCAGCAAGAGAGCCGTTTGAGCAGGAAGCACCTGTGAGGCTGCTGCACGGCCCTGCCCCGCCCCCAAAGCTCCCTGGGATTGGGGTGGGGGGTGGGGAGGAAATGCTGAAGTGCTAGGTGAGGCCTGGGCACTGGGGCCCCTCCTCCAGGCCACACCTGCCCAGTGGCATGTGCCATTTTATTAATTAATTTATTTATTTTGAGACAGAGTCTCACACCATCCATTGCCCAGGCTGGAGTGCAGTGGTTCGATCTTGGCTCACCGTACCCTCTGCCTCCCAGGTTCAAGTGATTCTCCTCCCTCAGCCTCCTGAGTAGCTGAGACTACAAGTGTGTGCCACCACACCCAGCTAATTTATTGTAACTTTTTAGTAGAGACAGGGTTTCATCATCTTGGCTAGGCTGGTCATAAACTCCTGACTTCAGATGATCCTCCCTCCTCAGCTTCCCAAAGTGCTGGGATTACAGGCGTGAGCCACCTCGCCCAGCTGGCACATGCCTTTTTTTTTGAGACAAAGTCTCACTCTATTGCCCAGGCTGGAGTGCAGTGGCATGATCTTGGCTCACTGCAACCTCTGCCTCCCAGGTTCAGGCAATTCTCCTGCCTCAGCCTCCTGAGTAGCTGGGATTATAGGCGTGTGCCACCACGCCCAGCTAATTTTTGTATTTTTAGTAGAGATGAGGTTTCACCATGTTGGTCAGGCTGGTCTCGAACTCCTGGCCTCGTGATCCACCCATCTCGGCCTCCCAAAGTGCTGGGATTACAGGCGTGAGCCACCGCGCCCGGCCACATGCCATTTTAAACCACAAGAACAAGGAAAGAAAAACTAGAGCCCAATCTTCAATAGCACCTGCACTCAAGCCCCCCACCCCACAGAGACACTAGCATGCAGGCATGCTCAGCAGAGGTGTGTGTGGACCCAGACACACGAATATTCACATGCAAGTGTTCACATGTGTGCACATGCACCATGTACACATAGCCAAAGCTGCCCCGTCAGGTCTGGGAAGGGAGTCCAGACCCAAGGATGGGCCTGGAAAGGGAGAAGTCCAAGGGCAAATGAGTGATTTCCTGGGGTCTCAAGATACTATGGAGGTGTCCCAGATTGTTTGCTCCCTGTTAGGTGGGCAGATGGGTAAACTGAGGCATGGAATATAATGAAAGGCTGTGTCTGTGGCTTGATGCCCAGTGGTGGGGATTGGGGATCAAAGGCTGGTGGTAGAATGTGAGGTGGATGGAAGGGTCTGGCATGAGAAGGGGTATGGCAGGGCAGGGTGACAGTGGTGAAGGACTCACCTGGTAAGCCACAGCTCTGCAGGCATCACAGCGCAGGTGAGAGGGCATGTGGGTTGAGTACTTCTCCTCATCGTCCAGTTGCGGGGCAGTGGCTGTGAGTGGGGCCCTGTCCCCGAGTCCCCCTGGGATGGCCCAGGCTCCAAACAGCAGCAGCAGTGACAATGACAGCCTCATGGCCCCAGGAGCCAGCTCAGCAAGTACAGTCTGTGGCTGGGGTGCAGATGTGTGTGTGCTTGTATGGTGTGGGGACCGCCACAGAACACCTGGCCTAGACCAATGGGGAACTGACACCTCACTCCTCCCCTTCCCCTCCCATTCCCTTCTCTAGGGCCCTGGAGACGCCACGTGGACATGTCCTCTAGCTGGACCCTGGCGCCAGCCATCTAAGCTCCATTTCACAGATAGGGAGCAATGAGGAAAGGAGAGGGGTTGGGCCTGGGCAGGAACACATGGAGGCTGATACCTCCCACATCCTGTGATCTGGCTGAGTGGCAGGCACTGTGCTGAGTGCCTTGTGGGAAGAGGTCGTTGGCCGCTGTCATCTTTTTTTGTTTCAGTGATGTTTCTGAGAAATGAGACTGTCATGTTTATTCTGCCCCTTCTGACACAAAGGCTCAGAGAGAAGTGACAAATCCAAGGCCACATAGCTAGAGGGGCCCTGCTGAGAAACCCAAGCCTGATTGACCCCAGAGCCCCCTGGCACTCAACCACCAGAAGGAATGAGGTGTGGCTGCGAGCCTTCTGGGAGGCAAATTCAGAGAGACAGGGATGCTACAATGTTTCAAAGACACACATGGCCTCCTTCCCTAGCCCTGAGGTCCCCTTCACCCAGGCCATACCCAGGCATGGAAGGGCACTGTGGAGGGTGTTGAGAGGCCGTGGCAGGAAATTAGGCATCTCACACCAGTTATTTCAGTCATCACGGCTCCATGGTCAGTGATTTATTACACACCGCAGCGAGGTAAGGCACCTGGGGTGGCCCCCAGGGCCCTCCATGCCATCAGAGCTGGCGTCTCAGCCAGAAAATGGCCGGGTTGTTCTGATTCATAGTTCTCCAGTCCAGGGCAGAAGGCAGGGACTGTGAGGGACATGGGCCCCCCAACAGGCCTGGAACAACAAAGGCATCCATCCCCATCCCTGCCACTGCTTCTGATGGAAACTGTCCTTCCCAAACTCATCACATCACACACCAGGCTGGCAAGGGCCAGCCATTTCCAGTTCACAACTACACACAGACCCCCACACAGACCTCCTACCTCATGCAGACCCCTTCATCTCCTTCAGAGGCTCCTGGAATTCAGGGCAACTGAAGGGCAGGCTCTGGGCCCTGTTCCTTGCTGCGACTGGTCTGTAGGGCCAGCCCCCTCTCTAGGCATTGTTGCCACATCTGTTACTGGGGGAGGGAAACTGCCAAGAGCTTCAGGTCCCTCTGGCTACTCCACCAGGGGTATCACTTCTACTGCCAGCCCTAACCCACCTTCCAGCCACACAAAGGGTTAAGAGGCTCCTGTGGGACGAGAGCCCAACCACCCTCCATCTTCTCAGACCTTCCGATGACCATCTCACCTACTCCCGATGTGGGGGGTGGGGGCTGAAGCCCCACTCCAGCCCAAAAACAAGTCTGCTCAGCTCTGAGAGCCAGGCTCCCCATCTTCCCACCCCAAGTTCCAGGCTCACCCCTCACCCAGGCCCTCCCTGTATTATTTCCTTGCTTCACCTCCACCTATTGCCCCCGCCTTAGCTCCCTTTCTCAGAGCCAGCCTGGCCCAGGGGCTGCACTGGCCACTTTCACCCGGGTAGCCTCCAAGGCCAAAGCTCAGCTCCTCTTCCTAAGAGCAGATTTGACAGCCAGAGTCCTTACCACTGCCTCACCAGGGGCACTGGCCGGCCCCACCTCAGCTGGGCCCGCCCTCAGGGAGGCCAGACAGTTCCCTTCCCTGTCGCCTGCTGCTCCCGTTCCTGCTGCCCCGGGGCAGCCCCAGCACCTCCTCTGATTGGCTCCTGGGGACAAGCGCCAGGGATGCCTCACTTTCACTATTTGCTTGCCTGCACATACACATATACACACCCACACACCAAACCACACCGCACCCTGGGAATGCCTGGGAAAGGGATACATAATTTTGTTGGGGAAGGAAGTAGGCAACCGCTTCCTGGGTGAGCTCCAGCTCCACTAGCCTCGGGGCTCAGATTCATTCTCTGAAGATCACTTCCGGTCCGACGACCGGCCGGGATGAGTTAAAGACGGAGGTGACGGAAGGAGAGGAGGGTAGGGGCTTGAATTTCAGAACCTCCCAGGCCATCCAAGGGTTCCAACTCCATGGGTATCGGGCTGGGGCCTCACAGCGGGAACAAGGAGCCCTTGCCGGGCTGAGTAGGACCCGAGCTGGAGGGCGGCGCACAGAGGAGCAGAGGAGGTGCGGGGCTGGGGGTCCCGCTCACCGGCAGGTAGTAGGTCCGGTCCAGGGGCCCTGCCTCAGAGGCCCACGATAGCTGGGGGCTGCCGAGGGCCTGCGGGCCTGGGGACGGTGGCAGGGAGAGGCTGGGGATAGACCCATAGGCAGGCGGGTAGAGGCCGCCGAGCCCCAGGGCCAGAGGGGTGTAGACGCGGTGGGGCAGCCCGGGGGATGAAGGCGGCAGCAGCACCTCCACGTACTGCCCACTCTCGGGGTCGAAGAGCACCCTTAGCCGAGGCTGCCGCGGTGCCTCCACAAAGTAGTAGCGGCCGCTCTCGGGGTCCACCAAGATCTTCCCTGGGGGCGCAGCCCCGGGCGGCCTACGCGCTCCCTGGGAGGGGCTTTGCGGGGACCGGTCCGTGGGAGGCGCCGAGGCAGCTCGGGGCTGGGCGGGGGCCATCCTGCCAGCCGACGCCAGGGTCTCCCGCGGCAGTGGCACCTGGACCGGAGCCCCGGGCTCGGGGGCCTTAGGTGGTGTCTTCGGTTTGGGTGCTATCCCCGGGCTTGGGCTGGGGTGCACCTGAGGGGAGCTGGGGCGGGGCGATGGGGCCCCTGCTGGCCCTATGGGGGAGCGCTGGGATGAGCGGCGGTCGCCGCCTAGGGGGCTCGTCCGACCCTCGCCTTCGGGAACGAGGCGCTGGGCCTCTGCATCCCTGTTCTCGCCACCTGGGCCGCGCGCTCGCACTCCCGGGGTTACCTCGGGCCGGCGACCCAAGGCCAGGGCCCCAGGCAGGCGGATCTCTGTGCGCTTGAAGGGCTTCGCCGTGCTGTTCTCTGCCCTCCGCCGCAGGACCCCGTTGGGCTGTGAGGCGTCGCGGGGGACCGTGTCGAAGGATGGCTCTGGAGGCTCGTAGGGGTGCGGCACGACCGGTAGAAAGTCCTTGATGAATACCGAAGTGTAGTGAGCCGGGGCGGGGGGCCCCAGCGCCGGCAGCTCTTGCGTCTTGGATTCGCCGCCCTCCTCCCTGCAGGTGTCGGCAGGAGGCGCAGGCAGCCCAGAACCTGGGGTTCCCGCCGGGAAGCTTGGCGCGTACGTGGTCTTCACCAACTTACGCACGTCTCGAGGCCGCGGAATGGCCACGCGCGGGCGTCCCGAGGCCGCTTCCCCAGGACCCAAGACTTCTGGGCACTTTTCGGAGTCCAGGGTGCCTACAAGGTGACTGCCGGGCGGCTCAGGTGCTGCCACCTCTGGGGAAGGCTGTCTGACTCCAAAGGCAAGATCCGGAATCTCCCGCGTGGATGGACTCTGCACCTCTGTTGGTTCTGGAGTCCCGGGTGCTGACGGTGTAGGTGGTGCCAACTCCTCCTGAGTTAACCCATTCTGAGCTTCCTGAGTAAATACTACCGATGAGCCCGGCCCCATCGGATCCCACGTCTCTTGGGGCGATGGGCTCCAAGTTCCAATAGGACGATCTGGCGCCTCCCATGGCAAGAAGGCCAGCGGGGACGGGCTGCTACGTGGCTCTACCGCATTCCCGACTGCCGAATGTGGAATCTCCCACCGGGAAGGGGCTTCGAGGGATGGACCCCTTTCTCCTGCAACACACTGTTTCCACTGGGAAAGGGTCGGAGGGGAAGGGCTTCTGCTGACAGTTTCCTCGACGGCGGGATTCTGATTTTCCCAGGCGGTGGAGGCTTCAGGGAACGATGGGCTACTCACCCTCCGAGTACTCCGATCCCACGGGGACAGGTTCCGGGGGGACCGGCAGCGAGGACCCCGCACAACCCCATTTGGAGCCTGCCATGGCAGGGACGGGCTCCTTGGCCTCACAGCCTTACTCGGAACCTCCGAGGGGACCCTACACTCAACAGGCGGACTCCATGCCTTCTGGACAGTTCGATCTGGCGTTTCTCTCGGGACCCGAGTCTTCCGTGCCTCCAGGATCTTCTCCTCCGACTGAAGGAAGATGCTGGAGCTAACAGGACCCAGCGGCTCGGTTCCGGGAGCAGGCTTGTCGCGCCGAATTGCGCGCTCACGGAGGCTGGGCCACGGCCTCGGGGCTTTGGCGGAGGCCAAATTATCTTGTACGCGAAGTGGCCGAGACTTAGCCTTTTCCAGGACCACGCGGGTGCTGCGGGCCGTTTCCCGGGTTGCAGGATTCGACGGCCCCGTGGGGCCAAAGGTGTTACTGCTCAGGGCCGGGGCCTCCGGGCTCAGTTTTCTGGCCAGCGCTGTCTGCACGAAGCCCGCGGCGGCCTGCAGGCGGCCCAGCGACTCATCCAGGGAGCCGGTGCGCAGGAGCAGCCGGGGGCGAGGCGCGCTGGCCGCCCGTGGGGGACTCTGGGGCCGGGGGCGTAGCTCGATCTGACGCTTGGGCACTGTCCGCGGCCTGGCGGGCGCGGCGCTCTCCTCCACAGCCACCTCCACACACTCGAACTGCGCTGGGGCGGCAGGACTTGGCCCGCGGGGCCGCAGCTCTAGGTAGGTGGCCCAGCGGGAGCTACCGTCGGGGGCCTGCGACTGGCGAGGGGCCGGGGCGGGAGACTCTGGCCCCGGCGGCAAAGGGCTGCGGAAGGCCGGCTCCGTGAGTTGTTGTTGCGCCTCGCTATCCTCTGCGCCGGAGCAGCCGAACAGGGGTCCGACGCCGAAGATGACTTCCATCTCCCCCGACGGCAGCGTGCGCAGCTGGGGCTGGGTTGGCCGTGGGCCGGAGCCCGAGCCTCGAGGGAAACTCGAGCCGGGCCTGTGGCGCTGGCGGCTATTCTGGGCGCTGACGGACAGGCGAGGCTGCGCGCCCGCCCCCCGCCCAAGGGCCACCCAGGGCCAATTCGCCGGGCCTTCCGCGTCCGGCCCAACGTCCGGGGGCTCCGGAGAACCCGGAGCCGTGTGGTAGGAGCCTGACGAACCGGAGGAGTCCTGGCGCCGTGCGGGGGCCGCGGGCAGCTGTCTCGGGATCCCAGGCAGGGCTGGCGGGGCGAGCGCGGTCAGCATGGTGGGGCCGGACGCCGCGCACTACCTCCCTCGCATTCGCCTCCGCTGGTGGCGCCGGCACTGTCCCCGCCCCGCCCGAGGATGCCGTGGGGTCACCGCGCCTTAAAGCGGCCGCGTCCACTCCTGAGCCAGCGGCACCGGCAGCAGGAGAGACCTGGGCCCTGCACCCTTCCCTCTCCAGCCTCCATGTCCAATCAACCCCTTTCTCAGGCACAAGCCAGAGCACCTGGTGTGGGCTCCAAGCTTTGGCTGACGGGCAGGTGAGGGAACGGCAGGCCCACCTTTTGAAGCCCTGGAGCCAGGAGTTAGGCCCAACTTCACCCATCACAGGTGAGGGAACTGAGGCCCAGCTGCGATCCGCCTGCAGTCAGGCACTGCTGTGCGCGGTTCAGGCTGTGAGCCGGGGAACCAGGCCTTCAGGCTGGGCGACTCAGGTAGTGCAAGCAATTTCATCTTCCCCTCAGCCCCGGGTGTCTTAACATCACTGCAGGGGATCCCCATCGCCATTGCTGGCCTCAGCTAGAGCTCCTAAGGGTGCACCCACCACCTTCCTTGACCCCAATTACGCTCTCCCCAATCCCCAACCTTCAGCAGAGTAAGCAGCACTGCTAGAGGCCTCCCTGGTGCCTCAGGGCCCCAGGAAGGTGCTACCCCTGGCTGGACCCATTGCCCTCAGTGGGACCTATTGGAAGGGGCTGGAGTGGACAGTTCTAGCTTTCACAGTCTGCCTCAGCTCCTAGAACAGGCCCTTGATACCAACATGGAGTCCCATGGGAAGCTTCAAAGTAGCTTGTGGTCCCAGCTCCAAAGCCCCTGGAGGTCAGAACAGCCCTGTGCTCCCCAAGATACTCAAAAGGCCCTCATTTCGGCCCCCATAGCCTTAGGACCTGCCCTGGAGACAGGCGCTGGTGGGGAGGCAGCCACCTCCTGTCATTGTCTTACAACAGTGGGCCCCACTTGCCCTGAAACTTCTGGCTTCAAGGTCCTGCTATGACTCAGGCCCCAGCTGGCCCTGGGGCAAGAGCACTGGCCCCTCCTGTGCACTCAGCCTCAAAGTGACCCAGGACAGGCTACACTGGGCTAACCTGACCCCTGAAGTGGGTCCCTTGCCTGGGTGTGTCCCCGTGATCACCTAGGGTACACTCAGTGACAGCTTCTGAAAGAATGTAGCCAGCCCATCCCATCCTGCCCTGCCTGTGCAATTTGAGCAAGTCCAGCTCCCTTCCCAGATTGTTTCTCCACCTGAAAACCAGACACAGCAGTCTTTTCCCTTCCTCCCATTGGTGAAGCTCCCACTTGTTGCCGGGAGGTATCAGCAGGTACAAATTCGATTTGCAGGTATAACATTATTGTTATGTGATGGAAACTGACTTCCCAAATTCCTTCTAGTTCTGGAACCCCCTGTTTTTGAAGATTCTGGTCAGGGCTTCCTGCCCTGTAGTCAAGTTGAAAGAGTTAAATTTACCAGGACAGTTAGAGTGGGGTGTGATGTTACTGGGTAATAAGGGCTGTTTATATAGGAAAGGATTAAATACCCAAAGTGGTGGTGTCTACCAGACAACAAAGACCCAGCTCCTCCCCTAGGCTACAAGCCCCTACCCTGTGGACCCCTACTACTACCTAAGAGGGAGAGAAGTAGCAGGGGCTAGAGGCTGGGGACTCCCAGAGCAGAGCAGGCAGAGGCTGGGGATTACAGCCAGAGAACAGGAAGGCAGTGGCCATTTTATTTTTCCCTGGGATACTGGTGGCTGCAGGCCTGACGCGTTCCTGAGGCTTTCTTATGCTTCTGGTCCAGCACCTGGGCCATGTAGCTCTCCTGCTCCTTCTGGATCCGGAAGTCAGACATGTGATTCCTGCAATGTAGCCGGCTGGTGGTGGGCTGTGGACAACCCAGGGTAGGTGGAGGCCAGAGATCTGGCTCCTTAGTGTCATCAACATCCCCAGCCGAGCCCAGACCCCTCACCTGAAGATCTGCTTCTGCTGGCTGATAACTTGCTGCAACTCTTTAATCTCATTCTCTTTGCCATTAAGTATATCTTCTTGCTTTATAATGTGAGACTCAATCTCTGTGGGGGAGAGAGGCAGGGAGGAGGGGTGGTTCCCATCCCAAGAGCTCCTTCCTGAGATAAGGCATTCCCTCATGGGGCTTTTCAGAGCTTGGCTCCCCACCCACGAGTTCTCCATGAAGAACTGCTACTACCTTAGTATGAATGAGTTTATTGTGCAGTCTTGGGGGAGTGCAGTGTTTGAGGTTTGTTGTCAGTGACTTCACAAGTCTATTCTGGACCAGAGGACCCACATGAGGGCAGGAGAAGGTCCTTAGAGAGAGGTGGGCAGTCCTGTTCAAAGGCAGGAAGATGAATGGCACCTGTCCTCAACTCCTGCAGGTCTTTACAGATGTCGCCTCCTTGGAGAAACTCTCCCTTATCTAAAAATTACATTTCCCAGTACTGCCTACTCCCTCTTCCTGATTTATGTTTCTTAACACTTTTACCTAACATACCATATATTTTACTCATCTGTCTTCTCCATTACTGGGGTGTAAGGTACACAAAGACAGGGATCTTTGTCTTATTCACAGCTTTATCCCTAAGGCCTAAAACAGTACCGAGCACATAGTAGGTGTACGGAAAGCATATTTCCAGACCGAATGAATGGGATGTCCCTGGGGCTTTAGGACTTAGAAGCATGACTTAGTTCAGTCATCCCAGTCCAACCAAACCTCCTGAGGGCCGGCTGGATGCCCAGCCCTGTGCTAGGGCTTCAGGGGTGGTGGGAGAAGATGGAGTTGCCTCAATTTTCAGACCTGTTTCATCATCTCAAAGATGGGGAAAGAGACAGCCCTATCCCATGGTGGTGTGGGGAGGACGCAGTGAGATAGTGGTGGCACACAAAGCCTACCCCCAAATTAATTGCACATTTGATGCAAAGATGACTCTCTGAGACAGGGCGATGGCTTGAGCCCAGGAGTAAGAGACCAGTCTGGGCAACATAGTGAGAACTCACCTCTAGAAAACTAAAAAAAAAAATTAGCTGGCCATGGTGGTGGAATGTACCTGTAGTCCTAGCTGCTTGCTGAGGCAAGAGGATCACCTGAGCTCAGGAGTTAGGGCTGCAGTGAGTTATGACTGTACCCCTGCCTGGGTGACAGAGCAAGACCCTGTCTCTAAATAAATAAATAAATAAATAAAAGATAAATTTTCTGTGTTGGATCAAAATCCAAGGAGGCTGTATGGATCTGGGGGTGCTTCATTTATATAACTGTTCTTCATGGTGCCCTGGAAAATTCTGATTCCCACAGAAAGAAAATCCTACTGTCTTTAAAGGTTGGACAAGGGGCTGGGTGTGGTGGCTTACACCAATAATCCCAGGACTTTGGGAGGCTGAGGTGGGTGGATCAGCTGAGGTCAGAGTTTGAGGCCAGCCTGGTCAACACGGCAAAACCCTATTCTGCTAAATGTACAAAAATTAGCCAGGTAGCCGGGCGCGGTGGCTCAAGCCTGTAATCCCAGCAGTTTGGGAGGCCGAGGCGGGTGGATCACAAGGTCAAGAGATCGAGACCATCTTGGTCAACATGGTGAAACCCCGTCTCTACTAAAAATACAAAAAAAATAGCTGGGCATGGTGGTGCGTGCCTGTAATCCCAGCTACTCAGGAGGCTGAGGCAGGAGAATTGCCTGAGCCCAGGAGGCGGAGGTTGCGGTGAGCCGAGATCGCGCAATTGCACTTCAGCCTGGGTAACAAGAGCGAAACTCCGTCTCAAAAAAAAAAAAAAAAAAAAAAAAAAATTAGCCAGGTATGGTAGCACATGCCTGTAATCCCAGCTACTTGGAGGCTAAGGCAGGACAATTGCTTGAACCTGGGAGATAGAGGTTGCAGTGAGCTGAGATTATGCCACTGCACTTCAGTCTGGGCAACAAAGTGAGACTCCGTTTCAAAAAAAAAAAAAGTAAGTGGCCAGGCATAGTGGCTCACGCCTGTAATCCAATCCAAGCACTTTGGAGGCCAAGGTGGGCAGATCACCTGAGGTCGGGAGTTCAAGACCAGCCTGACCAACATGGTGAAACCCCGTCTTTTAAAAAAAATAGGCTGGACATGGATTGATTAGCTAGAACACAAACTCTGAAAATACAGAAATGTCTAAGCACTTGAGGCACAGCATGGAAAAGAGAGACAGGTGCAGGTAGAGAATGAAGATATGAGTTCACCAGGCCATGGGGTGAGGACTCTTGAACCTCCTGCCCAGGCCATCCAGCTAATTGGTATTACTTGTGAAGTTCGTATGGGAAAAAGAATTAGAAATATATGTGACTCTTTGAAAAGAAAAGCCTGTGGCACCCGATAATGAGAGAATGGTTAGAAAATCTCTTTGAAAGTAAAGAACTATGTAAAAACCAGACTGAAACCACTCAAGGGTAGTTTGTAGGGGTGGAGTGGGGTGGGAGGATCTGGCCAGGGTGAGGTCCACATCACCAGATTGGCTCAGGAGGGGTTTAGAATATTCTGGGCGAGGTAGCCAGGACCTGTCCCCATGACCCACACACCTTCCAACAAGAGATCCAAAGCCCTGCGGTCTTGAGTGATCTCTGTTGGAGGGAAATGGCCTAGAGGAAGGATGTCTCTGGCCCCACCAGGAAAGAACCCCAGGTTCTTTTTTGGGAAGTAAGGGAATGCCTACGGAGAGGGCAAGACTGAGGGTACCAATGGCCTTGGGCATGGGGGGCAGTGACTGCCTGTCGGGCCCTGCCCTGGCAAGAGCTGGTGACCAAACTACTATGAGACCTGTCAGCCTGCCTGGCCACATCAAGATGTTTGCTGGCATCTTCCCAGTGAGAGCACTCACCAGGGGAGAGAGATGTCTGGACTGGTGGAAGGCAGGGTACCCAAGGCTCCAGGTGGGAGCCCTACCAGGAAGGACCTTGAACCTTTTGCACTTGGGCTCTGGCCTACTAGAGATCTGCTAAAGTGAACGAAGCAGATGTTGCACCTGGAATTCATACTTACTTCTTAAACCGTGTAAGGGGAGTTTAGCATTCTGGGAAGTGAGACAGGCTCCTGAGGTGTAGGGGCACTGGGTAGCTGATTCTGAAGGTGCTCTACAACTTACGGCACCAACTGAGCCAATGAGTGGCCTGCAGGCATCTGCACAGAGCACAGCTGAAAACTGGGAGCCCACACAATAGCTGGCCTATGCAAAAGTTTTAAAATTTCAAAATCAGCTGCCAATACTAAAAAGTCAAAAAAAGCTTCCATTAAAACTTGGTTTTGGCTGCGCGGTGGCTCATACCTGTCATCCCAGCATTTTGGGAGGCCAAGACGGATGGATCACCTGAGGTCAGGAGTTAGAGACCAGCCTGGCCAACGTGGTGAAACCCCATCTCTACTAAAAATACAAAAATTAACTGGGCGTGGTGGTGTGCACCTGTAATCCCAGCTACTCAGGAGGCTGAGGCAGGAGAATCACTTGAACTGGGGAGATGGAGGTTACAGTGAGCCGTGTGCCACTGCACTCCAGCCTAGGCAACAGAGCAAAACTCCGTCTCAAAAAAACAAAAACAAAAAACAGGCTGGGCATGGTGGCTCATGCCTGTAATCCCAGCACTTTGGGAGGCCAAGGCGAATGGATCCCGAGGTCAGGAGATCCAGACCATCCTGGTCAACACAGTGAAACCCCATCTCTACTAAAAATACAAAAATTAGCCGGGCATGGTGGCACACGCCTGTAGTCCCAGCTACTCGGGAGTTGGAGGTTGCAGCAAGCCAACATCATGCCACCACACTCCAGCCTGGGTGACAGAGTAAAACTCTGTTTCAAAGACAAAAAACAACAACAAACAAAACAAAACAAAACTTGGTTTCCCTGGGCCTGGTGGCTCACAACTGTAGTTCCAGCTACTCGGGAAGCTGAGATGGGTAGATCACTTCAGCCCAGGCACTTGAGACCTAGTCTTAAAAAAATAAAAATAGCCAGGCGCGGTGGCTCAAGCCTGTAATCCCAGCACTTTGGGAGGCCGAGGCGGGTGGATCACGAGGTCGAGAGATCGAGACCATCCTGGTCAACATGGTGAAACTCCGTCTCTACTAAAAATACAAAAAACTAGCTGGGCATGGTGGTGCATGCCTGTAATCCCAGCTACTTAGGAGGCTGAGGCAGGAGAATTGCCTGAGCCCAGGAGGCGGAGGTTGCGGTGAGCCGAGATCGCGCCATTGCACTCCAGCCTGGGTAACAAGAGCGAAACTCCGTCTCAAAAAAAAAAAAAAAAATAGTCAGGCATGGTAAGCCCAGCACTTTGGAAGGCCGAGGCAAGTGGATCACGAGGTCAGGAGTTTGAGACCAGCCTGGCCAACATGGCGAAACCTTGTCTCTATTAAAAATACGAAAATTAGCTGGCATGGTGGTGCATGCCTGTAATCCCAGCTACTCAGGAGGCTGAGGCAGGAGAATCACTTGAACCCAGGAGGTGGAGGCTGCAGTGAGCCAAGATTGCACCACTGAACTCCAGCCTGGGTGACAGAGCGAGACTCTGTCTCAAAATAAAATAAAATAAATAAATAAAAATAAAAACAACCCTTATTTCCATTTTAAAGATCTGGTAATCCTGGTCCCCCATCAGCATGTGCACCCTTCCCTATTGAGTCCTGACCCTGAGACTAAGGGTCAGCTCCCAAATAGGACAGTGCTCACCCTGTGTTCCTCTTGTATCAGTTAGGAGTAAAGTGCACTATTTTTAACCCAGCAAAGTGGGAAAACAAAAGGTGGACTAAGAAGGTCGTATATTTCAGGAAAAATGGGAGCAAGCCCATTTCTTTATGGTGGTGAAGAATATAATACACCGACTGCTTCCTTCATTTCCGTGGCCTGCCTGGTCCCTTAAGGCCTTTTCGAAGGTGTGGCCCACCCGGGCCTGCCTGTATCCTCAGCTGGGGACAGGTGTTAGAGTGAAACCCTGCCTTTGACACAGGCACTGGGCGGTTAGGAAAGAGCCCATTTACATAATTGTGGTGGGGAGCACGGGCCTCCCGCCTACCATTGCACTTGGTGATGAGCTGGTCCTTCTTGCTGGACTCCTGTAGGACTTTGCTCTTGACACTGGAGAGCCTGGGTGGGGAAGGTAAGACGGGAGGGTGGGCAGGTTGGCAAGCAGATGCATCCCCCAAACCCCACACCTGCTACTGAGGCCCACTCACGCTTTTTCAAAGGCCAGCTTCTCTTTCTCCAGCTGCTTGGACAGCACCTCTACCTCTCCGAGGGCAAACTGTAATTTCTCCTCTTCCTTGGCCAGGAGGACCTTGGTCTTGGCATGGGCAGCTTTCTCTTCCTGCAGGGGCAGCAGCAGTCACCTCATTACCCTAGGCTGCCTTAGGTCTCCTAGACCCCCTTAACCAGCCCCCCTTCTCAGAGGGATGCATAGAAGCCAGAACACAGGGAGATTCTAGCCTTGCTACTGGGGCTGGAGGTTCTCAGAGGCCAACCTTTCTTTTTCTTTTTTTTTTAGACAGAGTCTCACTGTGTTGCCCAGCCTGGAGTGCAGTGGTGTGATCTCAGCTCAGTGCAACTTCTGCCTCCTGGGTTCAAGGAATTCTCCTGCCTCAGCCTCCCAGGTAGCTGGGATTATAGGCACCTGCCACCATGCATGCTTGATTAATTTTTTTTTTTTTTTAGTAGAGACAGGGTTTCACCATGTTGGCCAGGCTGGTCTAGAACTCCTGACCTCAAGTGATTTGCTACCTCAGCCTCCCAAAGTGCTAGGATTACAGGAGCAAGCCACTGAACCCATCAGAGGCTAATACTTAATGAGCCTGCCTAACCACAGGGGTCCTGGGAAATGGGGGAAGATTAGGAGCCTGCAGAGGCCATTACTTACCACCAGCTTCTTCTCTACTGCCTGGAACTCTTCTTTACTGACAAAATTTTCATCCTGGAGAACCATCTGCAACAGAGCCTGGCTGAGTGAGGGCTTGGGACTGGGGTAGAAGGGGTGCCCTCTAGGGACCAGGACCAAAAGCCGATAATAGGATGATGCTCCTGGTACCTAGGATGAAACTGAGGCCCTGAGAAAGGAGAATTCAGTTCCACAGATAAACAGACTCAGCTCTAAGTGCTGCCCTCAAGGAGCAGCCGGTCTCATGGAGGAGGCAGTCCACAGCCAGCACTTCTAACATATTGTGTGCCTTGATGGGTAGACATAAGGGGATCTGGTGCTCAGAGGAGGCCCCTGGCCCAGCCTGGGGAAGGGTCAGAATCACTTCCAGAGAAGGGGACGTTAGACCTGAGATCTGACTGCTATATACAGTAGGCCAGAAGAGGGATAGTGAGAAAAGCACTCTGGATGGTGAGGACACACATGCCAAGGTCAGCTGCCAAGAGAAACACCTGGGTACTTTCTGGGAATCAAAGGCAATTCAGTGCCTAGAGTTCCATACATTTTGTTGAATGTCAGCATTAGGGTGGCAAATAGGACCTCTCTCCCCTTTCCCCAACATTCAACTTCCCAGAAGGGAATAAACTGTCTAAGAACAACTTAGAGCCGGGTGCGGTGGCTCAAGCCTGTAATCCCAGCACTTTGGGAGGCCGAGGCGGGTGGATCACGAGGTCGAGAGATCGAGACCAACCTGGTCAACGTGGTGAAACCCCGTCTCTACTAAAATTACTAAAAATTAGCTGGGCATGGTGGCACGTGCCTGTAATCCCAGCTGCTCAGGAGGCTGAGGCAGGAGAATTGCCTGAACCCAGGTGGCGGAGGTTGCGGTGAGCCGAGATCGCGCCATTGCACTCCAGCCTGGGTAACAAGAGTGAAACTCTGTCTCAAAAAAAAAAAAAAAAAAAAAAAGAACAACTTAGAGTGAGAAATAGATGTGAAGCCAGTTTTATTTCTGAGATGGAGACACATCCCAACCTTGTTATCAAGACAGAAAAACCATGAACTCGCCAGACGCGGTGGCTCAGGCCTGTAATCCCAGCACTTTGGGAGGCCGAGGCGGGTGGATCACAAGGTCAAGAGATCGAGACCATCCTGGTCAACATGGTGAAACCCCATCTCTACTAAAAATACAAAACATTAGCTGGGCGTGGTGGTGCCTGTAATCCCAGCTACTCAGGAGGCTGAGGCAGGAGAATTGCCTGAACCCAGGAGGTGGAGGTTGTGGTGAGCCGAGATCGCGCCATTGCACTCCAGCCTGAGTAACAAGAGCGAAACTCCGTCTCAAAAAAAAAAAAAAAAAAAAAAGAAAAAGAAAAACCATGAACTCCAGCTGGTTAGGATTCCATCACGCCTAGCCACGTAATCTGTGACTGCAATGCTTTGCACCCATTAGCTGGGGTTTGATTGAGTTCTTGGAGGCCCCTAAGTTAGCGTTGGCAAGAGCCAAATCTGCGCTTACTGCATTCAGCATGGCACTGCCTTTGACTCTGGGGCAGGGTGTCCATAACAGAGGGGATGACACAGTTTTTCTGCCTGCACACGAGGCCCATGGGAACCCAGTGAACTCGTCTCCCCTGAAAATGAGGAAACTGAGGCTCAGGGACTCTCTACCAGCTCCTGTAGCAACCAGGCAAACAGAATGGAGAATTTGGCTTGATTTTAGTTAAAATTCCCTGGTTCAGGAAGGTCCGCCCCTGAGCCCGGCCTCCTCCTGATGACGCCATGGGCCATGCGTTGTAGCCACGCCCCCGCATCGGAACAGGCCCTGGCCCCCCTTCTCCCCGAGCTCCTCTGGCTGCATACCACGTTCCTCAGCTGATGGATCAACTCCTCCTGAGACTCAATCACGTCCCGCAGTTGATCGAAGGCGAGACACACAGATCCTGACCCCGCCTTCGACCACCCGAGGGGCGCCGCCATCTTTCGCCCCCCGCCAGCTCGTTGGAAATGGCTGCCTCGGAGGTGCTCCTCGCCGTCGCCCACCAATGAGAATGCGACGCCACAGAGCACCCTGGCAACGCACCGCCTCTTAAAGGAGCCGCCGGGGCAGAGAAACTACTAACAGCCCTTAAGCATTTAAGTTTATAGGAAATCGCGCTTTTATTACGTCATCTGTTTCTCACGCGGTCTCGGGAAGCCGGCAGGGCCTGGCTTATACTTGCCTTGTCTGCGAGCAGGTAACGCTCAGAACACCAGCCCTCAGCCTTCACCCAGGGCCTGTTCAACTGCATGACCGCGAAGTGAGAGCCAGCGTAGGCAGCTCCTGCATCTTTAGCTTCTCATGCTTCTTTCTCCTAAGAGAAAGATTTACATACAATGGAGGACATTGTAGATTTCAGGAGGCTGGAATCTTATACAGTTTCCTCCATTGTATGAGATTACAGCCTCCTGAAACACACTTAGTACTTAGGGTGCCTAACCCTAAGCGCGGAAGATAGAAAAAAATAAAAAACGAGAATGGCTTCACCTGAGATCAAAGTCTTCATATTCTGATACCAGGCTCTGGGCAGCTGCACGAGAGCCATGTGCCATCACCCCCGGAGGAGGGCCCTGAAAAGATTAGGAGGACTGAGGGGGCTTGAAGAAGGAGAGTTGTAAAATGGAAGCAGGGAAGGATACGGTGATAAAGGACACTCACCAAGTCTCCAAAAGTCTCCGCTGAGGCCTTTTTTCCCCCCCCAAATAAGATTAGATTTTGAGAACAATGGAGCGAATATATATTGTGTTCACTATTTTGTGGCACCATTATGTTTATGTTATTTCATGTGACCCTCATAGAATTCCTATTAGCCCCTTTTAACCCAGGCTCTGTGAGAATGAGAAGGAATAATTTGATCACTCTAGTAAGTTGTGGGACTGAGTTCTGACATGGGCAGTTTGGTTCCAGAGTCCATGTTCTTGTTTATTTGTTTTTTTGAGATTGGGTCTCACTCTGTTGCCCAGGCTGGAGTGCGGGGACATGATCTCGGCTCACCGCAACCTCTGCCTCCCGGGTTCAAGTGATTCTCCTGCCTCAGCCTCCTAAGTAGCTGGGATTATAGGCACCTGCCACCACACCGGGCTAATTTTTGTGTTTTTAGTAGTGCCGGGGTTTCACCGTGTTGGACAGGCTGATCTCAAACTCCACACACCTCAGGTGATTTGCCTGCTTTAGCCTCCGAAAGTGCTGGGATTACAGGCGTGAGCCAACGTGCCGTTTGTTTTTCCAGACAGGGTCTCACTCGGTCACCCAGGCTGTGGAGTAGTGAGAACACAGCCCACTGCAGCCCTGACCTCCCCAGCTCAAGGGATCCTCCTACCTCAGCCTCCTGAGTAGCTGGAACCACAGGCATGCACCATCACACCCTGCTTTTTTATATTTTTTAATAAGAGGTTCTCACTGTGTTCCCCAGGCTGGTCTTGAACTCCTGGCCTCAAGGGATCCTCTCACCTCAACTTCCCAAAGTGCTGGGATTAGTGGTGAGCCACCCTGCTCAGCGTTGGAGTCCATGTTTTTTTTTGTTTTTTATTTTTTGTTTTTCTGAGATGGAGTTTTGCTCTTTTTGCCCAGGCTGGAGTGCAATGGGGTGATCTGGGCTCACTGCAACCTCTGCCTCCCAGATTCAAGTGACTCTCTTGCCTCAGCTTCCTCAGTAGCTGAGATTACAGGCACGCACCACCGCACCTGACTAATTTTGTATTTTTAGTAGAGATGGGGTTTCACCATATTGGCCAGGCTGGTCTCAAACTCCCGGCCCCAGGTGATTTGCCCACCTTGGCCTCCCAAAGTGCTGGGATTACAGGCACGAGCTACCACGCGAGGCCTGGAGTCCATGTTCTTGTTTGTTTGTTTGTTTTTTGTTTTTTTGGGGACCGAGTTTCGCTCTTGTTACCCAGGCTGGAGTGCAATGGCGCGATCTTGGCTCACTGCAACCTCAGCCTCCTGGGTTCAGGCAATTCTCCTGCCTCAACCTCCTGAGTAGCTGGAATTACAGGCACGCGCCACCATGCCCAGCTAATGTTTGTATTTTTAGTAGAGACGGTGTTTCACCATGTTGACCAGATGGTCTTGATCTCTTGACCTCGTGATCCACCCGCCTTGGCCTCCCAAAGTGCTGGGATTACAGGCGTGAGCCACTGCGCCCGGCCCACAAGTCCGTGTTCTTTTTTTTTTTGAGACGGAGTTTCGCTCTTGTCACCCAGGCTGGAGTGCAATGGCGCGATCTCGGCTCACCACAACCTCCGCCTCCTGGCTTCAGGCAATTCTCCTGCCTCAGCCTCCTGAGTAGCTGGGATTACAGGCAGGCACCACCATGCCCAGCTAATTTTTTGTATTTTTAGTAGAGATGGGGTTTCACCATGTTGACCAGGTTGGTCTCGATCTCTCGACCTTGTGATCCACCCGCCTCGGCCTCCCAAGGTGCTGGGATTACAGGCCTGAGCCACCGCACCCGGCCCCAAGTCCGTGTTCTTAACCAGGATGCTGTGCTGCATTTTTGTTGCACTTCATGGATAATTAAGTTATGTAATTTGATACCCCCAAGTAGGAATTGAATATATTAACAAGGAGTTTGGAGAAAAATGTTACCAGTGATTACAAAGGGAGGTAGAAACTTCAGGTTAAGTCACTCACGCTGCTCCCCAAAGCTCCCAAATGGCCGGACAAACTTGGCCATCCCTGTGGTTTTCTCAGCAGGAACCCTTGTTTTGTTTCTTGCATTTGTTCTCATGGACTTGGCCACAAGGCCATCTCTGTTGACCTCTCTCTCTTTTTTTTTTGAGATGGAGTCTTGCTCTGTCACCCAGGCTGGAGTGCAGTGGCGTGATCTTGACTCACTGCAACCTCTACCTCCCAGGTTCAAGCGATTCTCCTGCCTCAGCCTCCTCAGTAGCTGGGATTACAGGCACCTGCCATCAAGCCCGGCTAATTTTTGTATTTTTGTAGAGACAGAGTTTCACCATGTTTGCCAGGCTGTTCTCGAACTTCTGACATCAGGTGATCTGCCTGCCTCGGCCTCCCACATTGCTGGGATTATAGGCGTGAGCCACTGCACATCACTGACCTCTCTTAAAGGGCCTAGAACAATAGAGTTCAGCAGAACTTCTAGTGATGAAAATGTTCTATATCTGCACTATTCATTATGGTAGCCACTAGCCACATGTGGCTCTTAGCACTTGAAACATAGCTCATGTAACTGAGAAACTGCTTTAAAATTCTTTTTTCTTTTTTTATCCTTTTCTCAAGGTCACTTTAATCATAGCTCTTTAACATTTTTGAATTTTTGAGTTCAAATTTAAATGGCTATGGGTGGCTACTAACTACTGTACTAGAGAGTGTGTGCCTAGAGGGCACTGTGTAGGTTGTGTGTGCCTCAGCACAGACCCCTCTCAGAGCTCTGTGTACCAAACGTGAATGATCACCTGAATCGCCCTGCACGAAGCTGCACATTCCTCTGGGGCAGTGATCCCTGAGCCTTCCCCACGAACTGTATTCCCTCCCTAGGGTCTTTCGTGGGCACTGCTTGATGTCTCTTGGTATCCAACATCCACCTTCACCAGCTGGAACAGGCTGCTCTCCGCGTATCTGGGGCAAAACTCTGGAGAGCAGTAGGCTCCAGCAGTCACCTGGAGGTGGAAGGTTATAAGCAAGACAGAACCATGGATCCAGGTTCCTAGCATGGACATGAGGGGTGGTCACCCTCGTTGGGCACTACCACAGACTCCTACTCTACATGTTGAAAGGCACTTTGGGCTCCTGGCCAACCAGGACTCAGTGAGACTCAGGATGACATGGCATCACAAACAGCTCTGTGATCCTTCCTGGGAAGGGCTGCATTTCCGCACAGCCTTGTCATTTTGGCTGATGTTCTGTTTATCTATTGCATAATAAACCACCTCCCCAAATTTTTTTTAAGTCATTGAAAAAAATTATTTTGTTCATGAATTTGGCAAGGTTCAATGGTGAAAGCTTATCTCTACTCCATGCAGTGTGAGCTGGGATGGTTCAATGGTGTGTTAGAAGTTCTACTTCCAACATGGCTCACTCACGTGACTGGCAAGTTGGTGCTGTCAGCTGGGAGGTCTGCTAGGGCTGAGGACCAAGGGTCTTGGTTTTTCTCCATGGGCTGCCTGGGCTTTCTGAGAGCATGGAGATTAGGTTAAAGAGAAAGCATTTAAAGTGACAGAAAATGGAAGATGCCAGTTTCTTAAGGCCTGGGCCTGATACCTGGCATGCTGTCATTTTGCTGGGTTTTTTTTTTTTTGTTTTTTTTTTTTTTTTTTTTTTTTTTAGGTGGAGTCTCACTTTGTCACCCAGGATGGAATGCAATGGCACGGTCTTGGCTCACTGCAACCTCTACCTCCCCAGCTCAAGTGACTCTCCTGCCTCAGCCTCCCAAGTAGCTGGGATTACAGGGACCTGCCACCATGCTTGGCTAATTTTTGTATTTTTAGTAGAGATGGGGGTTTCACCATGTTGGCTGGGATGATCTCGAACTCCTGACCTCGTGATCTACCCACCTTGGCCTCCCAAAGTGCTGAGATTACAGGTGTGAGCCACTGTGCCCACCTCATTTTTACTGTGTTCTATTGGTTAAGGAGTCACAGAGTCCAGATTCCAGAGGAGGGGACACAGATCCTGCCCCTCCACCACCTTTCAATGGGAGTAGTGTCAAAGAATTTGGGCTGCCCTTCTAGAGCAAATCCTTACGACAGATGGCACACCACTCCCTTCAAGGTTCATTTCAGGTAAAACCAGACAGGAACTTAGTCTAGTGGGAAGAATCAGACAATAATCAAACAACCAGGTAAATCTAAAGGGCTATTTAGCCAGGTGGGACTAAGCTTCTGTGCAAGGGAAAACGTCTCTGAGGCAATGATGTTCCATCTGAAACCTATTAAGATAACCAGGAAGCACTTTAGCAAAGAGGGTAGGGGCAGGTGAGTGGGTAGGGATAGCAGAAAGAGGGAACAGTATACACAAAGTCCCTGGGGCAAAAGAGGTTGGTAGAGTGTAGTAACTAAGGGCTGGTATGGCATAAAAGAAAAAGATTTATAGGGCAAGAGGGGGCTTGGGGAATGTTTAAAGACCAGGAACTTGGCAGAGCCTTGCTAAGCAAGGTAGGCCATGCTAAGGACTTTGATGATTTTTATTTTAGGGACAAAAGAAAGCTACTGAAATATTTTATGCAGGAGGATGACGTGATCCAATTTATGCTTGGAAAGGTCTCTCTGGCTGCAGTGAGGTATACAGATGGGAGCGGAGCTGTGTAGGTGCACAGAGACTACTTTTACTGAGAAGGCTACTGCAGTGAAAGTGGATGGTAGTTTGAGAGTCAGATGGTGTCACAGATGAAAGGTTTAGGATGTTCTGGAGGTAAAATTGATAGGGCTTAACAGAGAGGTGATGTGGGGACATGGAAAAGGTGTTTTGGTTGTCTCTTGCTAGAAACCACCATATAATGTAACGGCTTAAAACAACACTCTTTTTTTTGACAGAGTCTTACTCTGTCGCCCAGGCTGGAGTGCAGTGGTGCAATCTCAGCTCAGTGCAACCTCCACCTCCCAGCCTCAAGCAATCCCCCCACCTCAGCCTCTCCAGTAGCTGGGATTGTAGGCGCGCAGCTATTTTTTGTAATTTTCAGTGGAGATGGGGTTTCACCATGTTGCCCAGGCTGGTCTTGAACTCCTGGGCTATAGCCATCTGCCTTAGCATCCTTAAGTGTTGGGATTACAGGCATGAGCCACCACACCTGCAATAAAATGGCAGCAGTCGTTTTATTATTTGCTCACAATTCTGCAGTCTGAGCGGGACTTGGTGGGGCAGCACATTTCTGCTCTGCCCATCATCTAGGGTAGCACAAATGGCTCATTTGAGTCCTCAGTTGTTGCTGTCAGTTTGATTGCTTGGTTCTCTTCTGCATGGTTTCTCCTTTGGTTAGTGGAGTGGTCTCAGCGTAGTTGAATTTATGTGGTACCTGGCTTCCCTCCAAGTACAAAAATGGAAGCTGCCAGTTTTGCCACATTCTATTGGGCTGATCAAAGGCCAGCCCCAATTAGAAAGGGGACTACACAAAGGCATGACTATTAGGGGATGCCAAATTAAGTCGGCCACAGAAAGTTTCCTGGGTTTTTGACTTTATTTTGTTTTTAGAGATGGAGTCTTGCTGTATCACTCAGGCTAGTCTCCAGCTCCTGGCCTCAAGTGATCCTCCCACCTCAGCCTTCAGAGGTAGCTGGGATACAGGTGTGCACAACAGTGCCTGGCTTAGGTTGCTGACTTTTACACTTGGATGGGTGGAAGTGCTAGTGATGGAGGTGGGGCACTGGAAGAGTCTTGCTTCCACAATCCTTCACCAAATAAAAATCCACTCACCTCTGTAGGAAGGGCGATTATATTTCACATCTCTCTTCCTCAGAGTTGCTTTCACTGACCCCTCAGACTGGGTTAAATCCCTTTGTTATAGCGTCTGTGATCCCCCCTTGGTCTCCCTTTAGCTATTCATCACGCTGCGGACGCTGTGTAAGCCTGGCCTCTCCACTAGATGTGAGCTCCAGCAGCCTTGGTGTTGGGCCTTACCTGTTCCCTGACCCCCATCCCAAAAGCCCAGCCCACCTGGCTCAGAGTAAGTTCTCAATCATTGCTGAATTGCATCTCCTCTCACTTTCTTTTTCAAATGAAAGCTATCATGACCAGTTAGGATCATGTGAATATCATTTTCTATATATATATATATTTTTTTTTCTTTAATTGCGTTTTAGGTTTTGGGGTACATGTGAAGAACATGCAGGATTGTTGCATAGGTATATACATGGCAATGTGGTTTGCTGCCTTCCTCCCTATCACCTATATCTGGAATTTCTCCCCATGTTATTCCTCCCCAGTATTTAAAAAAAAATAATTATATATATACATATATATATGTATATATATATACACACATATATATATTTATTTATTTATTTAAAGACAGGGTTTCACCATGTTGGCCAAGCTGGTCTTGAACTCTTGACCTCAGGTGATCCGCCCACCTAGGCATCCCAAAGTGTAGAGATTACAGGCTTGAGCCACCATGCCCGGCCTATTTTTTTCTTTTTTAAATAATTTTTTTTCTTTTTTAGAGATGAGGTTTCACCATGTTGGCCAGGATGGTCTCTAGCTCCTGACCTTGTGATCCACCCACCTCAGCCTCTCAAAGTGCTGGGATTACAGGCATGAGCCACCGCGCCTGGCCCATTTACTATATTTTTAAATCAATACTTTCCTAAATATGGGCCACTAGGAACAGAGCCAGCAAGGAACTGGGATAACACCTGAATTTCTGATGCTAAGTGTAGTTTTTATCGGTCTATTGGCTGTGATATACTGCGACTGCTGTTATCTGATAGAAAATGTGGAACTGATGATGCCAACAATGCTGTCTACTATTCCAAATGCAAATAATCCCACTGATGGGTGAGGGAAGACTGGAGCAGATGCCAACAGCTTCTCTAGTCCAAAGTGGCTCCAAGGGAGTCAGGCAGTGGCCAGGGATGCCACGGGCAAAGGTAAAAGAACCAAGGAAAAATAGCCATTCTTTTTATACAAAATTGTTTAATGTTTTTCTTTGTTAAAATATACTCAATCCAGATGTAGTGGATCAGGTGACCAGATTTTTTCAAGATTCTTAGTCCACCAGGAGCTGATTCCATTTGTGTCATCGCTACTCTGGTCACAGAACATCCACATCTTTAATTCCAAATACTGAGCGTGATGTAAATGATGTACTCAGTATCTAACACATGGGTATATACTTAATTGGTGCATCACATATCAACAGTGCAGCCTCAAGAAAAAAAAAGATGTTTTGTAACTTGGGCCTTTCCAAAAATAAATATATTAGGACACTAAACTTACACCTTAAATGAGGCCAGAATAAATATGAACGAAGTGCAAGCTCCTGTGAGGAGCAGTGCATGCAGACAATGAGCTTGCATGTGTGGTGTGGCCAGTTGGAACAGAAGCCACTGGAATCACACAGTGCCTCCTCACAAAGCCCAGCCTGAGTATGAGGAGGAAAAAGAATGACGCATAGCTTGGCCAGGCTGCTGGACCCCATGTTCCAGTGGCATCTGGAGTTCGCTGCATTTTTTTTTTTCTTTTTTTGAGGCAGAGTCTCCTTCTGTTGCCCAGGCCGGAGTGCAGTGGTGTGATCTCTGCTCACTGCAACCTTCGCCTCCCAGGCTCAAGTGATTCTCCAGCCTCAGCCTCCCAAGTAGCTGAGATTACAGGTGCCTGCAACAATGCCTGGCTAATTTTTGTATTTTTAGTAGAGATGGGGTTTCACCATGTTTGCCAGGCTGGTCTCAAACTCCTGACCTCAAATGATATGCCCTCCTTGGCCTCCCAAAGTGCTGGGATTACAGGCGTGAGCCACTGCGCCTGGCCAGTTCACTGTATTTTCTAATACTTTCCAACAGAAAGCAGAGAAGTGGCGTTTCCTTATTGGTCACTACTCATGGGATGTGAGGCCGGAAGCTGATCAAGGAAGTTTACACATTTTCTGGCTTGTGCAGATGAGCCCTAGGGTTGCTAATTTAGGGACATGGATTCCTTCAACCTCTTTGTGATGAGAAGGATTTTTGTCCTCCTTCATTTGAATGAGACCTTCAGTTTCTGCCTGAGCCTCAAGCCCTATTTCTGAGCCCTGCTCCCATCATACATGTCTCCAATCTGCAATAATGCTCAAAGAAACAGTCTAGAGCTGGGTGCCAAGTTCTGACAGCAAGAATAAGCCCTACCTAGAGTTTATGTATGATCAGGAGATCTTCCAAAGGATGTAGGCAAGAGGAAAAAGCTTATTTTACCACCATGCAGACGATCCATCTAAAATATAACCCAGGAAATTATAGTTTAACAATATTCTGGATAGTATCAAATAGATTAAACTATCCTTCAACCGAAAGCAAATACAGTTCCCTTGAGGAAAAACAGATGTGAATGTATGGTCTATTGGTAATAAATAAAACAGTACCATCAGTGCTATAAAAACAGACAACCAGTGTGTCATTTAATGTAGTTAGTTACTATTGCCTCTATTTAGTATCATCACAGATTACTCATCACTGCCATGAAGTCCATAAAATATGTGACTACTTGATTCCTGGGCATCTAGAAAAGGGTCTTTTAACCTGTCAAGTTAGTTTCATTATGGCCAATTTTCTAGCAAAGGTTGGGGATGGGGAGAGGAGAGTTTCAATTTTTGTGTATATAGGTGAACTTTCCATAAGCCTGTTTGGCTCATGGACACATTTTACAATCTAACTTCCCTTAGTCACTCAGATGGGATCAAGAAGGGCCCCCCAAACCAGGAGGACAGACCTACTAGGGCAGCAAAATCTGGCTATTTCTAGAAATGCTCCCTCTCCCTACAACTGAGCAGTTGTCCCCTGCAAGCCACTAAAGCCCTCAATCTTTACCTATGAACCCATCTCCTGACTCTGGAATGCATACAGAAGCATGGTAGGGAACAGCTGTTCCGCTGTTGATGAGCCATGCTAGGCACGTCTGTGTAAATCATGGCTGTGCATTGGGATGAAGAAACTTTGCTTTGGAGATCTGTTTTAATGTAGACTCTTTTTTTTTGTTTTGTTTTGAGATGGAGTCTCACTCTGTCACCCAGGCTGGAGTGCAGCGGTGTGATCTCAGCTCACTGCAACCTCTGCCTTGCAGGTTGCAGCAATTCTTGTGCCTTAGCCTCCCAAGTAGCTGGGACTAAAGGTGTGCACCACCAAACCTGGCTAATTTTTGTATTATCAGTAGAGATGGGGTTTCACCATGTTGGTCAGGCTGGTCTTGAACTCCTGACCTCAGGTGATCCACCTGCCTCAGCCTCCCAAAGTGCTGGGATTACGGGCATGAACAACTGTACCCGGCCGACTCTCTAGCAGAAACTTTTCCTCCAATCTGAAGAAAGCATGGAATGTAGGCTTCAGTCACCTAATGATCCTTCCAGCTTCAGAGTCATGATAATCCAGGCAGCTCAGCTCCACAGGAAGGCACAGCCCAGGCAGTGACTGAATTCTTCCTTGTAACCAGTGGGAAGGCTGCCTGCCCGTGAGGAACCTCTTATTTTGTGTACAGAATTTATGTTAGACAGGGTCCTACTTCCTAAAGAGTAGCAAGGACATTGTCCTTAATGGATGCAGGATTGCCACAGAAAGGATGCGGGGTCATGGAGTAGGGTGCACAGAGGCATCCTCAGGAAAGGTTCTGCTTCACCAGTCTGGCTAGAATCACCTGAGACATGAGGATGCTCTCTCCCACTTTCTACTTGACACAGCCTATCGTCTAGCTCTGCCACCACCAGCTGTATGACCCACGTCAACCATTCATCCTCTCTGGGCCAATGTTCTCATTCATAGAACCAGGGATAATACATCTACTTCAGAGTTGTGAGGAGGTTTAAGTAAGAAAATATGTGTGAGAGCCCCTGCTTTATAGTGGGCACTCATTAAATGTTGAATGCATGAAAAGCATCTCAAATCACAAACCTTATAGAACATTGGGTTAAACAAAGTGGCTGCTAGGGCCAACGCTAGACCCCCATACCCAGGAAGAGAGGGTCTGTCCCCTCTATCTCTAGGCTTGAGCAAACAGCCTGGAGAGCTGGCAATGCCTCCTCCTGGGTCTGCCCATCTGCCTCTGTGGCATGTAGGAACTCAGCCCAAGTGCAATGACACCAGTGCTGATACTGAGGGGAAATGACTGAAGGGACATTCTCTAGGTTCTATGATGGACTAGGGAGGCTGCATAGAGGAGCTGAGGCTCAGTCTTGCATTATACCTTCACCCCAACCTTGCCTCCTGATGCTGCTTAGTAGTTTTAATTTCTGGACCCTCCAAAAGAGAGAGAGTTAAGGAAATAAAGGAACCTCAAATCAGGCAGTTTGCTAACGCAACTAACTGAGCAGAGATTGGAATATTAGAAAACTATTGACTACGATTGTTTAAATTTCTACGTATTCCCTTAGAAAATAGAAAGCTGGGCAGGAACAGGTTCCAAAGGCTAAATCTTGGCAGAAGATAATGACTCTAATGAAGGGAGAGGTATAATTCTTGGTAGACAGCGTAAATAACTAATATTAAGATTTGGCTAAGCTTAGGAATGCCTGGGTCTTCAGACTTCACTGAAGAAGGGAAGAAGGAAGAAAACACAGATCTGCTGTGGGATGCCCTGAACTACATTCACAGAGGCAGCATGGGCGTGGAGCATGGTGACGGAATCCAGAGCTTTGCCGTTCACTTAGCTTAGAGGAACTGCTCCTGGCCCCTGGAGCCACTCCCCAGGAAGGAATGTGTGAAGACATGACTGGCTCTCGTGCCCATGCTCCTGCCACTCTGCCCAACCAACGAAGTTAGCAAATAGTAAAGTGTTCATCATTTCCTAATTTTGTATTATAAAATGGAATCAGGAACATAAATAGGAACAAGTAGCAAAACCCCAGCCCTGCGTAGGGCCATGATCCTCTCAGCCACCTCTGCGTAGGCCAATAAGTTTGGAAAGTTTCTCACAGTTTTCAAGTTTCAGCGACTCTGCTTTCTGTTTCAATCGTTCATCTCTGTATAATCCTGCCAAATTTGTCAACTCTGACTCTGAAAGATAAAAGAGGTAACCAGTTCATCAAGAGTTGAACTCCTTTGTTTCATTTCAACATTTCTGGAGTCAAAGCTCCTTTTACTTCATTTCATGCTTTTTCTTTCAATTAAACTAAGAAACATTTACTCATTTATTCATAAAACATGTCTTAGGCACTAGACCTAAGTGCTGAGGATTAAAGGGCACCTGTGAGCCTGCAGTCCAACAGTATCTGTGCTCTCTCATAAAAGCACTGGACTTAGTTACCAAGAAAACACTTGGCACCAGACTTAGGAAACCTGCGTGTGTGCAGTGAGACTGCCCCCCAGCCTCCTACCAACGGGATTCCAACGGCAGCTGGGAGGGAATGGAGTCCAGTGGCCTATTCCTGTCATCTGAAATAGACAGCTGCTTTATTCTTCCCCTGCACTGCTGCATCATAACTCACATGTGCAAAGGGACACAGAGCCTACTGCTGTCGGGTATGGGTCTATAGAAGTCCAGGGCGCTACCGGCATTCTTCATTCCCTCACCACACATGGGGTCCCTAACTCAAAGGCCAAAGGCAGCTGGGCTTTTTTAAAAGTTGAATCATCCGGATCGGGTAACCTTTGTCTCCTTGACTAAATGAACTTCATTTTCTCTTCGTGGTGGTGAAGGTCACTCTATTTTTAACCAGAATATAATCTCTGCTGTGTCTCCCGACTCAATGGTGGGTTGGCTGCCTCTATTTTTTATTCTTTTGTGAGGTTCAGACATTCTCAGGGAGGATTGCCTGAAAGCACCTTCAGAGACGTATTGCGTATTATTAGCAGGATGGCATGCTTGGATGTGGTGTGTGACTTCTGAAAGCCTCTGACAGCAGGCAGCTACTCAGTGTTTAAAGGACCAGACTTGGCCGGGCGCGGTGGCTCAAGCCTGTAATCCCAGCACTTTGGGAGGCTGAGGCGGGTGGATCACAAGGTCAAGAGATCAAGACCATCCTGGTCAACATGGTGAAACCCCGTCTCTACTAAAAATACAAAAAAATCAGCTGGACGTGGTGGCGTGTGCCTGTAATCCCAGCTACTCAGGAGGCTGAGGCAGGAGAATTGCCTGAACCCAGGAGGCGGAGGTTGCGGTGAGCCGAGATCATGCCATTGCACTCCAGCCTGGGTAACAAGAGCGAAACTCTGTCTCAAAAAAATAAATAAATAAAAATTTTTTTAAAAAAGGACCAGACTTGTGAAAATGCTATTTTAGTCGTTTTGAAATATGCCTATCTATTCTTTTTTTTTTTTTTTTTGAGGTGGAGTTTCGCTCTTGTTACGCAGGCTGGAGTGCAACGGCACTATCTCGGCTTACCGCAACCTCTGCCTCCTGGGTTCAGGCAATTCTCCTGCCTCAGCCTCCTGAGTAGCTGGGATTACAGGCACGCGCCACCACGCCCAGCTAATTTTTTGTATTTTTAGTAGAGACAGGGTTTCACCATATTGACCAGGATGGTCTCGATCTCTTAACCTCGTGATCCACCCGCCTCGGCCTCCCAAAGTGCTGGGATTACAGGCGTGAGCCACCGCGCCTGGCTGCCTATCTATTCTTAATCATCTTGCTGACAGATTTTGTTTTTCTTGGTGGAACGAATGACACCTGTCTGATTAATCAGCAAACTGCCTGGAAACAGGAATTATTATTTAGCCAGGGGGAACAATGGGCATTGCTTTCTGAATAAGTTTCTATCAACACAGAACACTCTGGCATTTCTGCTCACAATGATGCTATTTACCCCAAGTAAGGCCCAAAGTGCAGATAAAGTGCAGGACTCCAGGGTGAGGAGTGGATATGCATTAAAAAAATCTCCCCCTTCAATGGAGGCTGCACAGCCTGGGCTCTAGCACAGCAGTGGCTTGGCAAGCACTGGGTCTCCCAGGCTCCAAAACAATGTGCTCTCCCCACGTGGTGAGGGTGCCTGCGGCGCCTGCTAGCCAGGGCTTGCCTTGGCACAGTCACCCTTGCAGGTGATGGGGCTCCATGGAGGATCATGGGCTGTATCCAAATGAAAGCTCTCTCTGCTCCTGCATGCTGCCCAGGGCTTGGCACTAACTCCAGTCTTGGGCTTCTTTGGTATCTAGGTAACGTCTGCCGAAGGAGGCCTCTGTGAAGTCAGTCTATGCCTTCAGTCCTCTAGAGTCACAGTTATACCAGTATTGAAACAGATTCTGTGGTTTTGCTTTTCCTTGAAATGATTTCCTTAGGTTTTACATTTGCCCAGCTTTTCTAAATGCCTCGCTCCCTGAAATATTGCTCCAGGAAACATTAAGGGCTAGTGACTCTATATTTTCTACATTGAAGGCCACTTCAACAAGCTGATGAAAGATAACTGCTTTTCTCAAAATATCACATTGCTTTTCATAAAGCTCATGAAACCAGGTCAGAGACCCCTGCTCCAGAGCAATGACCTTGTACAAGGTCAGCGTTTCAAGGAACCACGTCCCACATCCCCAATACCAAGCTTAGAGCAACTTCTCTTCAAACTGCCAGTGAATCCTTTCATCCTTCAATGAGCAAAGGGTCAACTTGAAGAATATGCTACTTTTGACAAATTCTGTTAATATTCAATAACTTCCAAGTAATTAAAAAATTTTTTTGAGAGTAGCAGGTTCAAGAGAATACCTTTTCCGCCGGGCGCGGTGGCTCAAGCCTGTAATCCCAGCACTTTGGGAGGCCGAGGCGGGTGGATCACGAGGTCGAGAGATCGAGACCATCCTGGTCAACATGGTGAAACCCCGTCTCTACTAAAAGTGCAAAAAATTAGCTGGGCATGGTGGCACGTGCCTGTAATCCCAGCTACTCAGGAGGCTGAGGCAGGAGAATTGCCTGAGCCCAGGAGGCGGAGGTTGCGATGAGCCGAGATCGCGCCATTGCACTCCAGCCTGGGTAACAAGGGCTAAACTCCGTGTCAAAAAAAAAAAAAAAAAAAAAAGAGAATACCTTTTCTTCTTAGCAGAAGGTTCCCCTTCCTCTGAATGCCACTGTAACCGATGGACAGAGCATTGAACCTTAAAGGTAACTGACACAGGCACATTGCCAAAAGAAGCCAGACCCAGAGCCTCTCCTAAGAACACACGGCACAAGAGCCCAGATTGGAGTCTTGACAGCTGAAACACTGCAACAGATCTCAACTACCCTCAAGATCCAGCCCCATGAGACGGTGCTGCATCCAGTCTACAGTGCAAAGCCAGGTAAAGCCAGGACTCCACCAGAAATCAGGCACTTTCTATGTGCCTGATACTGAAATGCACCATTACATTCCAGCCTGGGTGACAGAGAAAAAATTCCGTCTTAAAAAAAAAAAAAGGTTACCCAGATTAAGCATTCTAAGGAAGAGCAGAGAAAATAAATGAACCAAAGCTTTGAAAAGTCAATGGCTAACCTTGCTAAAAACAGTTTGCATTTGGCATTTTGCCAAGAGCGAACTTTGTTCTCAAGTGGGTTTATTTTTACAACCTCCAAGTGCTAAATTTAACCTTACTGGCTGCACTTGCTGCTGGATTCAGAGGGCAGATGCTGCTTATTCTCAAATGGCACTTCGGTTGTGTGGCGGCTCTGCACAGCCACTGTACTTAAATGCCAGAAATAGATTTTTAAGGGGTGTGTGCTGATAGCTCCCATTTGGAACTTGTAGGTACACACATCATGCTTACTCACTGGATTTACTTTTATTTATTTATTTTTGAGTTGGAGTCTTGTTCTGTCACCCAGGTTGAAGTGCAGTGGTGCAATCTTGGCTCACTGCAACCTCCACCTCCTGGGTTCAAGCGATTCTCCTGCTTCAGCCTCCAGAGTAGCTGGGACTACAGGCATGTGCCACCATGTCCGGCTAATTTTTGTATTTTTAGTAGAGATGGGGTTTCTCTATGTTGGTCAGCCTGGTCTCGAACTGCCAACCTCAGGTGATCTGCCCGCCTAGGCCTCCCAAAGTGCTCGGATTACAGACATGAGCCAGTGTGGGCAATTTTTGTATTTTTATTTTTATGCCAATTTTTGATCAATTTTTGTATTTTTAGTAGAGATGGGGTTTCGCCATGGCTGGTTTCAATCTCCTGACCTCAGGTGATCCACCTGCTTCAGCCTCCCTAGGTGCTGGGATTACAGGCATGAGCCACCGTGCTTGGCCACTCAGTAGATTTTTATTTATACCTGGAGAATGTCAAAACTCTGAACTAGGCCTCATGGGGATGGGGACAAAAGCTTAGAAATGACCTTTGGTGCAGTCCTTACCATGAGCTCTTTGCTTAATTCCAGCATCTTACTGTCACAGAGGAAGATGTGGGGCGGGGGGATGTGTGAAGAATGTGAAATGCAGATTTTCATCCAGTTCTTGCAGAAAGCAACAAAGTCAAAGCCCTCCCAGGACCCAGACAATGGGGACTTTTAGGACATACACTGGCTTTCACCTGATTTGGATCCATGTATATACTGCCTTTTTTATTGAGAAAGACTCTCCCTCTGTGGCCCAGGCTGGAGTACAGTGGAGTGATCACAGCTCACTGCAGGCTGGACCTCCCAAGCTGGACCTCCTGAGTAGCAGGAACCACAGGCATGTGCTGCCACACCTGGCTTACTTTATTTATTTATTTGAGATGGAGTCTCACTTTGCTGTCCAGGCTGGAGTGCAGTGGTGTGATCTCGGCTCACTGCAACCTCCACCTCCCAGAGTAGCTGGGACTACAGGCACGTGCCACCAAGCCTGGCTAATTTTTTGTATTTTTAGTAGAGATGGGGTTTCACTATGTTAGCGAAGATGGTCTCGATCTCCTGACCTCATGATGTGCCTACCTCGGCCTTCCAAAGTGCTGGGATTACAGGCGTAAGCCACACCTGGCTTATTTTTATACTTTTTCTAGAGATAGGATTTCACTATGTTGCCCAGTTGGTCTTGAACTCCTGGACTCAAGTGATCCCCTTGCCTTGGCTTCCCAAAATGCTAGGACTATAGGCATAAGCTACCATGCCTGGCCTATATACTGCCTTTTAGTATAAGGTCTTTTTTTTTTTTGAGACAGTCTCACTCTGTCACCAGGCGCCAGGCTGGAGTGCAGTGGCACGACCTCGGCTCACTGCAACCTCTGCCTCCCGGGTTCAAGCAATTCTTCTGCCTCAGCCTCCTGAGTAGCTAGGACTACAGGTGCACGCCACAACGCCCAGCTAATTTTTTTGTATTTTTAGTAGAGACGGGGTTTCACTATGTTGACCAGGATGGTCTCGATCTCTTGACCGCGTGATCCGCCTGCCTCGGCCTCCCAAAATGCTAGGATTACAGGCGTGAGCCACCGCGCCCAGCCTAGTATAAGGTCTTTATTCTGCTCCAAAATTCTTTCCTGATTTTTGATTCTTGTAAAATCTAATTGAGATATGGGGTAGGGTATTTCATGAAACCTCAGTGTTTTTCAATAAAAATGGAATTTCCTCCTCCTGTTTAATTTCCTCTTATATCCCAGAGTCATTGCTCACCAACTTCCTAATGTACCTTGAGAGAACAGTGGGTCTTTGCCCTACAGAAATAGGGGTCAGAGATCAGGGTCCCTAAGGATTGAGCTAGGACACTAACCCTGCTGTTATTCACAATCCTCAGCATTTTCATTGTTTTCTACTCCTGAGAATCCTCTCTTCAAAAGACATTTGTTGAGCACCTGTTCTGAAGCGAGGGCTGTGCCAGGGCCCTGGGACACAAAATTAGTTAAGACCAAGTTCTTATTCCCAGAGAGCTCATAGTCTCTTAGGGAAGACTGACATATATCTCTGGAACTCTAACACTGTACAATTGGTTCTATGTTAGCAGGCTGAACAAAGTGCTTTAAGAACACAGAGGAAGGAGAACTTAACTTGAGGGTGGAGTTGGGAGTGTGTGATGGTCACTGAGGGCTGAGTGGCACTGTGACCCAAGAGCTAATTTTATCAGACACCATTAGGTATGTTGCACTACTAGGTAATAAAGCTTTAGAAATGAGTTAGAATTTGCTTTTTAAACATGAGCCAACACTTCAGTTAAAAGGGTAGCTCCTGAGAAATAAAAAAGAAAATAAAAATAATTAACCAAAACCAAGTTTTAGAAGATACGGTCATTAATGGTGTGTGTGTGTAGAATTCAACTGGGACCAAAGGTGAAGCTGTTCTCAAGTGGGACCAAAAGTGAAGCTGTTGGCTGAGACAGGGCTACACCTGCTGCAGACACGCCTTAGTAACACTTGCTGAAGCTGCAAGCCAGTGGCAGATGCGTTATGCCCACCGTCTCCGGAGAGGGAAATAGTGGAAAGGCCTGCCACACCCACGCCTACTAAAGGGGCAGACCAAGGGGGTCACTTTTGTTCTGTGTGGCCACAACCAGCTGGATAGGAGGGTAAGGGACACCTCATTCAATACCAGAAACCTCTAAACCTTTGTTGTGGCTAAAAAAGTTAGGCTGGCTCAGGGCCAGGCATGGTGGCTCATGCCTGTAATCTCAGCACTTTGGGAGGCCGAGGCGGGTGGATCACAATGTCAAGAGATCAAGATCATCCTGGCCACTATGGTGAAACCCCGTCTCTACTAAAAATACAAAAATTAGCTGGGCATGGTGACACACACCTGTAATCCCAGCTACTGGGGAGGCTGAGGCAGGATGATTGCCTGAACCCAGGAGGTGGAGATTGCAGTGAGCCAAAATCACGCCACTGCACTCCAGCCTGGAGACAGAGCGAGACTCTGTCTCAAAAAAACAAAACAAAACAAAACAAGTTAAGCTGGCTCAATCAAATTTCCCTCTAGGGAGTGTGGAATTGGGAAACTGTAGACCAAATCAGCGAGCACCAAGAACTTACAGAGGTGTGTGCTACAGAAGGGGGCACTGACTGGTGAGGCTGGGGAATTCGAGAGAGTGACAAGGAGGGTGGCAACCATAGTAAACCATGGCAAACAAGGTTATGAAGAAGGGAAGCTGGAAGAAAGAAAGGAAGGCAGCTGGTGGGGAGAGGAGAAGGGGCACATGGGCAGAGAGAGGTAGAGACCCAAAGAGAGACAGACATACAAACAGGTGACTAGCGCCACCGAAATTCCTAAGATTTCCAAGTCCTGGCCACATGCATCCTGTCAATAAATTTCCCCCCACTTTTTGGTAGTATCCTGAATGGTTTGTCTTTTGACTCTGTTCACATAAATATGTGTAGCCCCAAACAAGAAGAGAGGAGGGATCAGGAAGCTGGGGGTGCCTCCTGCTGGGAACCACGGCCACCAGCTAATGCCCCTTTTACAGCATCTTACTTTGTTGTTTCTCCTTCCAACAACTCGTCTGGATATAATCAATGTAATCCTTCTCTATTGTCTTCTCCAGGTCATTCAAAGAAGCTCCTCTGTAGGCCTTGTCAAAGTTTTTATCCACAAAGTAAGGCACCTGCAGGTTCTGAGTTTCTCTAGAAATGGTGTAGCCCAAGGTCCTGAAACAAGGAGAGAGAGAGAGGCTCATGTGAGCTCATAATATTTGGGAATATTACTCTTAGCAGTAGCCTCGTACATATCATCATCATCATCATCATCATGATCTGTTCATAGAGCAGAGGCAGATATCATTTTCTAACGTACCCAGTACTATTTGCCTTGCAAAGTTGTAAATATAACATCATCATAATTGGTATTACATGAGCACGTTCATACTATGAATTCAGGTTCAGCATAAATGGTGTATCCTCTTAAAGGACTCACCTCTCTTATACTGCTCTCTGTCCTAAAAGAAGAATGCTGAATGCTTTAAAAAACCAATTTTTATGTTGTGTAGGATCTAGTACGGTGCCTGACAGAGTAGGCTATTAGAATTGCTGGCTGAATGAACTGATTATGTTATATAGCAAATTATCTGAAAAAAAAAAAAAACAAACAAAAAAAAACCAACAACAACAGATAGCTCGCACCAACCTAGAAGCAGTATTTCGGACATGATAAAAAGTACTTTGCATGTAGCTGCGAATTGAGAACTGCAAGAAACTCAGATAGAAGATTTCAATGATGCTTCAGAGCTAACTCTCTGTGGGTCCAAGGCATCCAGTAGTATCTGGTGCTCAGCAACATTAAGAGTACTGAGCTGGCTGGGCGCAGTGGCTCATGCCTGTAATCCCAGCACTTTGGGAGGCCGAGGCGGGTGGATCATGAGGTCAAGAGATTGAGACCATCCTGGTCAACATGGTGAAGCACCGTCTCTACTAAAAATACAAAAAATTAGCTGGGCATGGTGGCATGTGCCTGTAATCCCAGCTACTCAGGAGGCTGAGGCAGGAGAATTGCCTGAACCCAGGAGGCGGAGGTTGCGGTGAGCCGAGATTGCACCATTGCACTCCAGCCTGGGTAACAAGAGCGAAACTCCGTCTCAAAAAAAAAAGAAAAGAAAAAAAAAGAGTACTGAGCTGATTAAATTCTAACCATAAGGAAGTATAGAAAGGACCTCAAACTCAAGTTAAAACAATGTGACAGCAATGTGCAAAACCCAAGCTGGTTTTCTTCAAACTGGACAAATTGTACCTTAAAGGGGCTCTATTTTATTTGGCCTTTCCCTGGCCCTCACTCTTGATCCCCTCTACTTACAGAGTAAGAGCCGAGGCCATGACTGCTCTCCCCTCATTCTAGGGAGGGGTTTACAGTGCAGGTTCGTGCTTACCCTGCTGGCCTCACAAGAAAGAAAGCTGAAGTACCATATGGAAAAACAAGAAAAGTTGGGAAACAGAGGGAATCAGGCCAGTGTGACCCGAGGGCAAAAACCTCTCTCTGAAGGCCGGGCACAGTAGCTCATGAGTGTAATCCCAACACTCTGGGAGGCTGAGATGGGTGGATTACTTGAGGCCAGGAGTTCGAGACCAGTCCGACCAACATGATGAAACCCAGTGTCTACTAAAAAATACAAAAATTAGCCAGGCATGGTGGTGCACACATAATCCCAGCTGCTAAGGAGGCTGAGGCATGAGAATCACTTGAACCTGGGAGAAGGAGATTGCAGTGAGCCATGGCTGCACCACTGCACTCCAGCCTGGGAGCCTGGGTGACAGAGCAAGAATGCCTCAAAAACAAAAACAAAAAACCTCTCTCTGAGTCTCAGTTTTACTCTCTGCAAAAGGAAAATACTGGCTGGCACAGTGGCTCACGCCTGTAATCCCAGCATTTTGGGAGGCTGAGGTGGGCAGATCACCTGATGTCAGGAGTTTGAGACCAGCTGGCCAACATAGTGAAACCCTGTCTCTACTAAAATATAAAAATTAGCCGGGTGTGGTGGCACACACCACCTATAATCCCAGCTACTCAGGAGGCTGCGGCACAAGAATTGCTTGAACTGGGGAGGTGGAGGTTGAAGTGAGCCCAGATTGCACCACTGCACTCCAACCTGGGTGACAGAGCGAGAATCTGTCTCAAAAACAACAACCAAAAAAGGAAAATACTGACTTGGATTGACCTGGAATGACAGTCTTCAGTCTACAGTCATCACTCACAAAGACTCTTCCTGTTACATATTGTCTAATAAATTCTACTTTTGAAAGTTTTTTTCCACTAAACTATAATAATGAGTAACAACTTATTATTCGCTATTAACAAAAAAGATAATCTAGTGATTCTCAAACTTCAGTGTGGACCAGAATCATCTGGAGAGTTTGTTAAAACTCAGGCCTCTGGTCCCACCCCCAGAGCTTCTAATTCAATGGACATGGAGGGCCCTAGAATCTGCCTTCCTAACATGTTGCCTGTTGATGCTGATGATTGCTGATCTGGGGACCAAACCTTGGGAACTGAATCAACTGAAAGAATTAATTGAAGAAATGTTTAAAAATCCTATCAGAGTTTATAATCTGTATGCCATAGGCATTACAATGAATTTCTGTATTTTCAGCGAAACAAAGAAATTGAAAATAATCACTTGATCCTAGTTATTAATACCATGCTCTGAGACCCACAGGGTCCAGCAATCCTATCAGCAGCTCAATGGTCTTTATAACTCTACCATGGTGTGAAAATGAGTTCATTAAACCTTCAATTCTACTGATCCTTCAAAAACCAGTTACTGCTGTTCTGCAGCCGACCAGATGGTGTCACTATAGAACAAAACAATCTATTTCGTGAGGCACACAGGAGACTGCTTCAGTATTTTTGAGTCTTGGCACCATGACTACCCAGCTGTTCCTTTAAACATCAAATCGGTGTTTTCCACAGCAAAAGGTGAAATGAAATGTTAGTAATTTAGCAGCAAAACCTTCAAGTCTTTCACCCCCAGACTGTTACTGAGAAAGATTTAGAAATATCAGACTTACGATTTATAGAATAGACTATATGGGGGATTAGTAGCCAGCAGCTGAGTAATGACAGATATAATCACAATCACAAGAACTGGAAGTAGCTGAATAAATGCAGAATACGTAGTCTAAAAAAGAAAACAATACTTACTGTAAGTGTTCTTCATCAATATAAAGCATACTGAAAATAAGATAGCGGTCCCAAAGAAAATAACAAGTCACCGACACACTGCCCAGGAGGATCCACAAAGCCCCAGGCTTTTAGGGGAAGGCTCTACTCTCAGCTGAGAAGCACAGGTTGGCCACTCGTAATCAGAAAATTCAAAATTGAAAACGTTCCAAAATCTAAAACTTTTTGAGTGCCAGAATGACACTCAAAGGAAATGCTCATTGCTTTTTTTTTTTTTTTTTTTTGAGAAATGATCTTGCTCTGTCACCAGGCTAGAGTACAGAGACACAAACATGGCTCACTACAGCCTTGACCTCCTGGGTTCTGATGATTCTCTTGCCTCAGTCTCCTGAGAAGCTTGGACCACAGGTGCACATCACTGTGTCCAGCTAATTTTTTTTTTTTTTTTTTTTTTTGAGATGGAGTTTCACTCTTATTGCCCAGGCTGGAGTGCAATGGTGCGATCTCAGCTCACCGCGACCTCCTCCTCCTGGGTTCAAGGGATTCTCCTGCCTCAGCCTCCCAAAGTAGCTGGGATTACAGGCATGCACCACCACGCCTGGCTAAATTTTGTATTTTTAGTAGAGACAGGGTTTCTCCATGTTGGTCAGGCTGGTCTCAAACTCCTAAACTCAGGTGATTCGCCTGCTGGCCTCCCAAAGTGCTGGGATTACAGGCATGAGCCACCATGCCTGGCCTAATTTTTAAATTTTTGTAGAGACAGGTTTTGCCATGTTGCCCAGGCTAGTCTCGAACTCCTGGGCTCGAGCAATCTTCCTACCACAGTCTCCCAAAATGTTAGAATTACAGGTGTGAGCCACTGCACCCAGCCTCAGATTTTCAGATTAGGAATGCTCAACTGTTTAATGGTATAATGCAAATATTCCAAAATCTAAAAAAAAAAAAAAAATCTGAAATCTGAAATACTACTGGTCCCATTTACTTCAGGTAAGGGATACTCAGTCTATACCAAATAACCTTCATTCTCTCTGCTGAGCAGGTTGAAGGAGGCCCAACAACAAACTGGATCGACAATCAGCAATCCCCCTGCAGTGCCCATTTATAAGACCAATGAAGCAGACATCTCTAGGTCAATCTGCCCAGACTGTGTCTCTTACAGGAGTGGGGCTCTAGGAGCCAGATTAGCATTATGCAACTCTGTCACTTGGCTACAGCTGGTTGGAATGGGGAGACATCTAACTCTAACAGAGATAATCACATTTTCTCTCCTAGGAATTTGGGGTTGAGACTCATCACCCTTCTTTTCTGGGTCATCACTTTAAGGAAGAACACACACTCTCAGGCACTGTAGACTAGCTATTTGCAAGGAGAAGTAGAATAAGCAAAGCTGCTCTGTGAAAACAAAACAGAGGCAAAGAGTGGCAGAAAAACTGAAGACAATTTGGCCCCAGAGAGTCCTGCAGAGCACAGCTGCTTGGGAGCCTGACAGTTCCTTGTTCCTGTCTGTCATGAGGCCCAGCTGTGCTTCTTGTCCTTTGATCCCTTACCTTAAATCCCCTTCAGTTCTAAATATTTTGAAGAAAGTTCCTATTTTCTGCAGCCAAGAAAACTTTGAGGCCAGTGTGGTGGCTCATGCCTTTAATCCCAGCACTTTGGGTGGCCAAGGCATGAGGATCACTTGAGCCCAGGAGTTCGAGACCAGCCTGGGAAACATGGTGAAAAAATTAGCTGGGCATGGTGGCACACAACTATAGTCCCAGCTACATGGGAGGCTAAGGTGGGAGGATTGCTTGAGCCCTGGAGTTCGAGGCTGCAGTGAGCTATGTTTGTGCTATTGTACTCTAGCCTGGGTGACAGTGAGACCCTCTTTCAAAACAAAAAGAGCCTTGATGAAGTCAGCCCCACAGGGGAGCTGAGACCCTGGGAGAATCACCCAGGGTCTGAAGGAAGGGATGGGCAGAAGGAAGGGATGCCATTCTGCCTATTTAGGCCAATTATTCAGCTCTTCTCACCATTGCTTTTGCTTTCCTGAAGCACATCTTAGCAACATATCTCAAATTCAACTACTAAAACTTGACCATGTACCATCAAGGTTGGCCCAGTACAACTGTTTATGGGCAGCAGCACTCCTCCCTCCCTAGGTACCTGAGGTTTCTCTTCTTCCTCCTCCTTCTGAGTCTGTGTCCTCTCATGTCGGTGCCGTCGGCGGTAATAGTGAGTGTCATCTGTCACATTTGAAAACATATGAATATTTCCTGGAAAATAAAGAAAAACAAATACTCAGTATGGGATATGGCAAATACTCCTTCCTTGCCTTTTTATTTCTTTTTTTGGAGACACAGTTTCACTCTGTTACCCAGGCTGGAGTACAATGGTGTGATCTTAGCTCACTGCAACCTCCGCCTCCTGGGTTTAAGTGAATCTCCTGCCTCAGCCTCCTGAGTAGTGGGGATTACAGGCACCTGCCACCACACCTGGCTAATTTTTAAATTTTTAGTAGAGATGGAGTTTCACCAAGTTGGCCAGGCTGGTCTCGAACTCCTGACCTCAAGTGATCCACCCACGTTGGCCTCCCAAAATACTGGTATTATAGGCATGAACCACCACGTCTGGCCCTTCATTCCTTTTTTCAAGGTCCTTGTTCCCAGCTAGGTTTGTTAAGGATAGAGTATTGGCCTATTTTACCCAGCAGAAAAAAAATACAGTAAGCAAGCCAAGTGAACCAGCTGGAGCTAAAGCATGCTGAGCTCTCCCGACTTCATTTAAATAGTCCTTTGCAACTAGTGAGAGAGAACCCCGAAAGGCTAGAAAAGTGAGAGCATTTGGGCCATGAATCCTATTTGGCATGCTCACGTCTGCTTCCGTGCCCAATACCACATTGTGTCACTGATATCTTTTAATAGCAATTCATAAAATTCAATTTACTTCCTGGGCACTGAATTGTACCAAATTCCAACTTGCTGGGGGTCACTTTCCAATCTTTTATCTTTGTAAGTGCTATTTTATAATAATAATAATAATAATAGGCATTTTGTTACTTATTTATAAGGCACTTAAAAGTATCTAATCCTCACAGTGAAACTGTGAAGTAGGTATTATTAACAGCCCCATTTTTCAGGAGAGGAAACAGGGTCAGAGAGACTAAATAATTGGTCAAAATTATGCACAGCTGGAGGCTGGAGACTTGCCTCAAACTCCTGCTCAACTGATTCCAAATCCTTGCTGTCTCCATCATACCATCGTCTCTCTATTCAGATTTTCAAACAGGAGCTTGCTGAGAGCCATAAAGAAAGAAATATTTTAAAGATAATTTTGGGATACTAACCTGTAGGAAAATGTCCTCCAAAGAAGACATTGAATAGCTCTTCTGGAGTGATGTCAGCTTCAAAGTCCCTGTAATAATTATAAGGTCTGGCTCGAGGGGCAGTGAAAGTCACCTGTTCATCTCCGTATTCATCATAGCGAAGTCTCTTATCAGGATTGCTCAGGACTGCAAACGCATTTCCTATTGCTGCAACCAACGAGAAGCAGCACATGAGAACACAGTCTGTGCTACAGCTGACAGTGATCACAGCAGCAGTGATGAAGAGCCAAGAGGTGACTCATGCTGGACAACTTTGCAGGGGCCCAAGGAGAGGTGCTTGGGCCTAGAAAGTTCTCCAAAGTGCTTGCCCTTGAGGTTTTCCCTGATTGCCAGAAACAACAACACTGGAATCACAGGAATTAAGAACTACTGCTGAAGTGAGAGTTAACTCCCAATCAACAGTCCTGGAGTCATCCCAGCTGTCCTAGAAGTTAGGATCCCCCCACCTCAGTTTTGGTTCCCAGTCACCACAAGTCTCAGATATGTTGGGAAAATGTTCTCCAACTGGCCAGCACTCTCATTCATAAAAACTGGCTAGGCACAGTGGCTCATGCCTATAAAATGAGGCACTTGGGGAGGCTGCAGTGAGCTGAGATCACATCATTGCACTCCAGGCTGGGCAACAGAGCAAGACTCTGTCTCAAGAAAAAAACAACAACTGTTCTTTACTTAATTTTTTTATTTTTTTTAAAGAGATGGGATATTGCTACATTGCCCAGACTAGTCTCAGATTCCTGGCCTCAAGTGATCCTCCCACCTTGGCCTCCCAAACTGTTGGGATTACAGGTGTGAGCCACGGCATCTGGCTAAAAATGTGTCCTTATTTCACTTGAGTGCAATAGTTCATGTTGGAAACAGTTTACCCATCAGTAGTGATATTCTAACTTATTAGTCAGAAAAATTTCCTGAATTCTCTCCTGAAACAATCTTTTTTTTTTTTTTTGAGACAGAGTCTCACTCTGTTGCCCAAGCTAGAATGCACTGGCTCAGTCTTTGCTCACTGCAACCTCCGCCTCCTGGGTTCAAGTGGTTTTCCTGCCTCAGCCTCCCGAGTAGCTGGGACTACAGGCACCCACCACCATGTCCTGCTGATTTTTCCATTTTTAGTAGAGACAGAGTTTCATCATATTGGCCAGGCTGGTCTCAAACTCCTGACCTTGTGATCTGCCCACCTCAGCCTCCCAAAGTGCTAGGATTACAGGCGTGAGCCACTGCGTCCGGCCTCCTGAAACAATCTTAATAAAAATCCTCCTGCATGCTGGGCACAGTGGCTCACACCTGTAATCCCAGCACATTGGAAGTCCGAGGTGGGTAGATCACGAGGTCAGGAGATCGAGACCATCCTGGCCAACATGGTAACCCCGTCTCTACTAAAACTATAAAAATTAGCTGGGCGGGGCGGCACACGCCTGTAGTCCCAGCTACTCAGGAGGCTGAGGCAGGAGAATTACTTGGACTAGGGAGTCAGAGGTTGCAGTGAGCCAAGATTGCGCCACTGCACTCCAGCCTGGTGACAGAGCGAGACTCTATCTCAAAAGCAAACAAACAAACAGCCATCCTGCTTGATTGAAAACAAAGTCTTTGTCATAATCTTATTTCAGTTTTCTTTAGATAATTATTTTCTGAAATTAAGAAATATATTTCCAATGTCTCAAAAAGGGTTGAAAGGCTGAGTAGTTACATATGTTTACCAGTATGTCTCCTCTCTTTGTACAAATGTGCAAACCTTGCCCAATTTCATTTAAACATAAAATCAGTAGCACCAATCAATAGAAACCTAAAAAAAAAAAAAAAAAAAAAGTATTTTAAGGCATCCCCAACTCCCTCCCTGTAATTCAGTCAATACTGTCATAAACACAGTCAGAAAGAGTATTTCTTCATGTTTCTTTTATCTGAGGAATTGTTAAATGTTTGCCTTGCCACTCTGTTACCCACAACTCTCTTTATATATACATATGTACATACATATTGTAATAAGTATACACTTCTTTTGCTGAATCATTTGAAAGTAGGCCACAGATATTATGACACCTTGCCCCTAAATACCTCAACATATATCTCCCAAGGAGAAAGACATTCTCCTGTGTGATCACAACACCATTATCACAGGTAAGAAAATTAATATCAATCCATTATCATCCAATGCATCCATGCAAGATTCAAGTATTGCTTTTAGTTTTATGTCTCTTTACTTTCTTTTTTTTTTGAGACGGAGTTTCGCTCTTGTTACCCAGGCTGGAGTGCAATGGCGCGATCTCGGCTCACCGCAACCTCCGCCTCCTGGGTTCAGGCAATTCTCCTGCCTCAGCCTCCTAAGTAGCTGGGATTACAGGCACGCGCCACCATGCCCAGCTAATTTTTTGTATTTTTAGTAGAGACGGGGTTTCACCATGTTGACCAGGATGGTCTCGATCTCTCGACCTCGTGATCCACCCGCCTCGGCCTCCCAAAGTGCTGGGATTACAGGCTTGAGCCACCACGCCCAGCTCTTTACTTTCTTTTAATCTAAAACTGTCACCTTTTTTGTTTTTCATTATGTTAACTTTTTTGGAAGAACAGATCAGTATTCTTATAGCCAGGTTTTCCCTGATCGCCAGAAACAACACTGGAATCACAGGAATATGTTTCTTTTTGTTTTATTTTCTTTTTTTCCCCACCTGCAACTGTCTTGATTGAGTTATAATGTTTCATATTCTAATTGTTTCCCCATTATTAGATTTAGGTCAAACATTTTGGCAAGAATACCACATAGGTGACAACCACCTTGGACTCAATGGTTTTAGTATTCACTGATGATCTTTGCCTGAAACAATTATTTGGAGTACAGTGGTTCAATCATGGTTCACTGCAGCCTTGATCAAGCAATCCTCCCACCTCAGCCTCCCAAAACAATTTTTTTAATTTTTATTTTTAGTAGAGATGAGCTCTCACTATGTTGCCCAGGCTGGTCTCAAACTCCTGAGCTCAAGCAATCCTCCTATCTCAGCCTCTTAAAGTGCTGAGGTTTACAGGTGTGAGCCACCATACCTGGCCAGGTGAAGCTCTTAAGATTTGTACTCATGTGTTAGGTACAAATTTTTTTTTTTTTTTTGAGACGGAGTTTCGCTCTTGTTACCCAGGCTGGAGTGCAATGGCGTGATCTCGGCTCACCGCAACCTCCGCCTCCTGGGTTCAGGCAATTCTCCTGTCTCAGCCTCCTGAGTAGCTGGGATTACAGGCACGCACCACCATGCCCAGCTAACTTTTTGTATTTTTAGTAGAGACGGGGTTTCACCATGTTGACCAGGATGGTCTTGATCTCTTGACCTCGTGATCCACCCGCCTCGGCCTCCCAAAGTGCTGGGATTACAGGCTTGAGCCACAGCGCCCGGCCCAAAATACTTTTAAAGAATATATTTCATCCGAGTCACAGCACCAATAGAAAATTGAAAAAGTTTTTTAAAAATAAAATTAAAAAGAATATATTTCTTTCTTTATTTTTTTGAGATGGAGTCTCCCTCCTGTCACGCAGGCTGGAGTGTAATGGCGTGATCTCAGCTCACTGCAACCTCCACCTCCTGAATTCAAGCGATTTTCTTCCTCAGCCTCCCAAGTAGTTGGGATTACAGGCATGCGCCACCACACCCAGCTGGTTATTGTATTTTTAGTAGAGACGAGGTTTTGCCATGTTGACCAGGCTGGTCTCAAACTCCTGACCTCAGGTGATCCACCCACCTCAAGCTCCCAAAGTGTTAGGATTACAGGAGCGAGCCACTGCACCCAGCCGAAAGAATATATTTCTTAAAATTTCATGGAGGAAAGGCACAGTGGCTCACACCTGTAATCCCAGCACTTTGGAAGGCGTAGGTGGGCAGATTGCTTGAGCTCAGGAGTTTGAGATCAGCCAGTGCAACATGGTAAAACCCCATCTCTACAAAAGATGCAAAAATTAGCTGAGCATGGTAGTGCTCACCTGTAGTTCCAGCTACTCAGGAGGCTGAGGTGGGAGGATCACTTGAGCCCAGGGGGCGGAGGTTGCAATGAGCCAAGATGGCACCACCACACTCCAGCCTGGGTGACAGAGTGAAACCCTGTCTCAAAAAAAAAAAAAAAAAAGGAAAGCAAGAAAGAGAAAGAAAAAAGGTGAAAGGAAAGAAAGAAAGAGAAAGAAAGAACAATTAAGGTAAGTGGATAAAATCAAGTGGGAGCTGTGTTCATAATCACTATTTAAGAGGTGTGCAGGGGGAAAACCCCTCCTTATGGCCTCATAAAACAACTATGGGGAAGGCTAAAAACAACTTATTATGACCAACCATGACAAGGGCAGCACTGAGCATTGATTCAGAATCAGACCTTTGAAAGCATCTGTTGCTCCAGGAGCACAGTTCTTGTCAGGGTGAAATTTCAGGGCGAGTTTTCTGTACGCTTTCTTAAGCTCTTCGTCACTGGCATCTCGAGAAACTCCCAGAATTTCATAGTAATTTCTGCATTTCTTGATCCTAAAAAAAAAAAACGCAAAAATATATGTCTACAAAGGCCCCTTTTGTACGACTAACTGCAAAACAATACATCCATCTTCCCTCCAATCTGTGGGACCCAAAACAAACCTATGAGAAAATTAGTGCAAACGTTAATGAAACATTCACATTCATTAACAATGTCCTTCTCCCATCCTGAACTTAATGCCTTTCAGAGTACTTTTACATCTACTATTTATTCTTCCTATATCCCTGCAAGTGAGTAGAACAAGTATGCTAATCCTTACACCAAGGTTCAGGCTAACATCCTGAGAGAGGAACCACAGGACAGCAAAGCCAAAAGAAACAGTTAATCTCCCTGTTTGTCTATAATTTTTTCTCTCTTTTTCCTATAGCTATCTTTTTAAACTGTGTTTTTGTTGTTGTTGTTTGTTTGTTTGTTTTTGTTTTTTGGTTATTTTTTGAGATGGAGTCTTGCTCTTGTTGCCCAGGCTAGAGTGCAATGGTACAATCTCGGCTCAATGCAACCGCCACCTCCCGGGGTCAAGTGATTCGCCTCAGCCTCCCAAGTAGCTGAGATTACAGGCATGCACCACCAGGCCTGGCTAATTTTTTGAATTTTTAGTAGAGATGGTGTTTCTACTAAAACATCATCATGAGGTCAGGAGATCGAGACCAGCCTGACCATCAGGTTAGAAGAAAAGAGCCAACAGAACTAAAGTTTATATAGTAAAAATTCTTCTGCTTCATCATTCCCTGTCCCCCAGCATCCCACCACAGGGACAACTATCATTAGAAGTTTTCTGTGGATCCTAGATAGAGAAAGAATACAGGTATAGTCCTCTTCATTTTTTTTTTTTTCCTACCTAAATAGAAACATAATCACCTTTCTACATCTTGCTTTTGTTTAAAAAAAAAAAAAAAAAAGGCCAGGTGCAGTGGCTCACGCCTGTAATCCCAACACTTTGGGAGGCCGAGGAGGGTGGATCACGAGGTCAGAAGTTCAAGACCAGCCTGGCCAACATGAGTGAAATCCCATCTCTTAAAAAAAAAAAAAAAGAAAAAAAGAAAAAAAATTTTGGGCTGGGCATGTTGGCTCACACTTGTAATCCCAGTGCTTTGGGAGGCTGAGGTGGGAGGACTGCTTGAGGCCAAGAGCTTGAGGCCAACCTGGGCAGGATGGTGAGACCCTATCACTATGAAAAATTTTAAAAAGCCAGGCATGGTGCCTTGCATCTGGAGTTCCAGCTACTCAGGAGGCCAAGATAGGTGGATCACTTAAGCCCAAGAGTTTGAGGCTGCAGGGAGCTACGATTATTCCACTACACTCTAGCCTGGGCAACAGAGCATGATCCTGTCTCTAAAAAACAAACAACCAAAAAACAATGTATCTTGGAGATCAATCCTTAACATATAGAGATGAGTATAGAATAATAGTTTAGACTAGACAATAGTTTAGGTTAGAGTGATAGTTCTGAACTTTTGATCTCAGCAATACTGTATACTCTAAAAAAATTACTGATAGGCGTGGTCCAGGAAGACAAAAAAAATTACCAAAGACCTCAAAAGAGCTTTTGTTTATATGACTTGTATCAATCCACATTTACTATACCAAAAATGAAAACAAAAATTTTCTAAACAGTGATGATATAATTACATGTCATGTAGCCTCTCAAAAACTCTATAATCATGAGAAAATCAGTGAAAAAGATAAGTATTATGTTTGTATCATTATGACTACAATTTTAAACTTGTAGACCTATCCCTTAAAAGGGTCTTGGGGCTCCCCAAACACCTTTGAGAACTGCTGGACTAGAGATGAACTCTGGAGTCAAGATGCCTTGGTTTAGATTTGATTTTGCTGTGTACTTAACCTCTAGAGCTTGATGTTATCTTCTGAAACGGGCTAATAATTATACCTATATTTCTCAGAGTTGATTTTATGATAAAGTCTTCATCAAAGAACTTGAAAGCATCTAATACTAAATAAATGTTAACTAGTATCATATATCTACCTCATTCTTTTTTTTTTTTTTTTGAGACGGAGTTTCGCCCTTGTTACCCAGGCTGGAGTGCAATGGCGCGATCTCGGCTCACCGCAACCTCCGCCTCCTGGGCTCAGGCAATTCTCCTGCCTCAGCCTCCTGAGTAGCTGGGATTACAGGCACGCGCCACCACGCCCAGCTAGTTTTTTTGTATTTTTAGGAGAGATGGGGTTTCACCATGTTGACCAGGATGGTCTCGATCTATCGACCTCGTGATCCACCCGCCTCGGCCTCCCAAAGTGCTGGGATTACAGGCTTGAGCCACCGCGCCCGGCCTTTTTTTTTTTTGAGATGGAACCCAGGCTGGAGTGCAGTGGCATGATCTCGGCTCACTGCAACCCCCCTCCGCCTCCTGTGTTCAAGCAAGTCTCCTGCCTCAGCCTCCTGAGTAGCTGGGACCCGCAGGATCGTGCTACCTTATCCAGCTAATTTTTTGTATTTTTAGTAGAAACAGGATTTCACTATATTGGCCAGGCTGGTCTCAAACTCCTGACCTCAAGTGATCCACCTGCCTTGGCCTCCCAAAATGCTGGGATTACAGGCATGAGTCACCATGCCTGGCCTACCTCATTCTTTTTCTTTTTTTTGAGACAGAGTTTTACTCTTATTGCCCAGGCTGGAGTGCAATGGCACAATCCTCGGCTCACCGCAACCTCCACTTCCCAGGTTCAAGCAATTCTCCTGCCTCAGCCTCTAGAGAGGCTGGGATTTCAGGCACGTGCCACTACATCCAGCTAATTTTTTATATTTTTAGTAGAGATGGGGTTTCACCATGTTGGCCTGGCTGGTCTTGAACTCCTGACCTCAGGTAATCTGCCCGCCTCAGCCTCCCAAAGTATTAGGATTACAGGTGTAAGCCACTGTGCCTGGCTGACTTTTCTGTTTTATTTTTTAAATGTCTCTAAAAATGTTTCCAGTCAGTATCAATCCTCCTTCCACTGCTTGCTTTAGTGTTCAGTGTCTGTTACATAAAAGGGTCCATGTTGTAAAAGAAGTCAAAAGTAGTCCCAAGGCCGGGTGCATTGGCTCAAGCCTGTAATCCCAGCACTTTGGGAGGCCGAGGCAGGTGGATCACGAGGTTGACAGATAGAGACCATCCTGGTCAACATGGTGAAACCCCGTCTCTACTAAAAATACAAAAATTAGCTGGGCATGGTGGCGCGTGCCTGTAATCCCAGTTACTCAGGAGGCTGAGGCAGGAGAATTGCCTGAACCCAGGAGGTGGAGGTTGCGGTGAGCCGAGATCGCGCCATTGCACTCCAGCCTGGGTAACAAGAGCGAAACTCTGTCTCAAAAAAAAAAAAAAAAAAAAAAAGTAGTCCCAAATAACTGGAACCCATCTGCCATATGGTCTAATGTGAATTTGTTTTCTGGCACTGCATCTTTGATGTCTTTCATCATTTCCTTGATTGGCTCTGTAGTCAGTCCTATGAGGTCATGCACAACATCTGGACACAGTTTTCTCCAGCAGAAATTGATTGTTTGGGGATGATGGCTTTCACAGCTTTTTCTGTAACAATGGACTCTTGAATGGTGTAATCCCTACACCTGGCTAAGTTTTTATTTAGTAGACACAGGATCTTGCTATGTTGTTCAGCCTGGTCTTGAACTCTTGGCTTCAAGCAATCCTCCCATCTCAGCCTCCCAAAGTTTTAGGATTACAGGTATGGGCCACCACACTCAGCCTCAACTATATTTTCTTTTTTTTTTGAGACGGAGTTTCGTTCTTGTTACCCAGGCTGGAGTGCAATGGCGCGATCTCGGCTCACCGCAACCTCCGCCTCCTGGGTTCAGGCAATTCTCCTGCCTCAGCCTCCTGAGTAGCTGGGATTACAGGCACGTGCCACCATGCCCAGATAATTTTTTGTATTTTTAGTAGAGACGGGGTTTCACCATGTTGACCAGGTTGGTCTCGATCTCTCGACCTCGTGATCCACCCGCCTCGGCCTCCCAAAGTGCTGGGATTACAGGCTTGAGCCACCACGCCTGGCCAACTATATTTTCTTAATTTCATTTTTTGATTGTCCATTGCTAATATATAGAAAACAATTAATTTTTGTATATTGATCTTATATCCTATAACTTTGTTCAACTTATTAGTTTTAACAGTATTTGTGTGTGTGTGTGTGTGTGTGTGTGTGTGTGTGTGTGTGTATTTGTTAGGATTTTCTATTTAAAAAATCATGTTATCTGTGGATGTAGTTTTACTCTTCTATCTAATCTGGATGGCTTTTATTTCTTTTTCTTCCTTAAATGCCCTGACTTGACCCTCTAGTACAATGCTGAACAGAAGTGGCAAGAGTGAACAGACATACATGTCATGTTTCTGATCTTGGTGGGAAAACACCCAGTTGTTCACCTATAAGTACGATGTTTTAACTGTGGATTTTTGTAGATGAACTTTATCAGGTTAAAAAGTTCCCTTCGGCCGGGCGCGGTGGCTCAAGCCTGTAATCCCAGCACTTTGGGAGGCCGAGGCGGGTGGATCACAAGGTCGAGAGATCGAGACCAACCTGGTCAACATGGTGAAACCCCGTCTCTACTAAAAATACAAAAAATTAGCTGGGCATGGTGGCGCGTGCCTATAATCCCAGCTACTCAGGAGGCTGAGGCAGGAGAATTGCCTGAACCCAGGAGGCGGAGGTTGCGGTGAGCCGAGATCATGCCATTGCACTCCAGCCTGGGTAACAAGAGCGAAACTCCGTCTCAAAAAAAAAAAAAAAAAAAAGTTCCCTTCTATCCCTGGCTTTTTGAGTGTTTTGTATTATGAAAGAGTGTTGGATTTTGTTTAATGCTTTTTCTGTACCTATTGAAATTATCATGTGATTTTTGTCCTTCATTGTATTAGCACAGTATATTACATTGACTTGTGTGTTATACAATCCTGCAATACTGGGATAAATCCCACTTGGTCAAGATGTATAATACTTTTTACATTGCTTTATTTGTTTTGCTAGTATTTTATTGAAGATTTTAAAATCTATATCCATAAGGGATCTTGGTTGATAGTTTTCTTTTTGTTGTTGTTGAGACGCTCTGTCATCCAGGTTGGAGTGCAATGGCACGATCTCAGCTCATTGCAACCTACATCCCCCGGGTTCAAGCAATTCTCTTGCCTCAGCCTCCTGAAGTAGCTGGGACTATAGGCTCCTGCCACCACGCCTGGCTAACTTTTGTATTTTTAGTTTCGCCATATTGGCCAGGCTGGTCTCAAACTCCTGACCTTGTGATCTGCCTGCCTTGGCCTCCCAAAGTGCTGGATTACAGGCATGAGCCACCACACCCAGCCCATAGTTTTCTTATGATATTTTGTCTGATATTATATTTCTGATGAATTTTGTCTGGTTTTGGTTACAGAATAATACTGACCTGAAAGAGTGAGTTTGGGAAGTATTCCCTACACTTGTAGTTTATAAGAGTTTATGAAGGATTAGTGTTAAGTCTTCCTCAAATATTTGGTAGACTTCGCCAGTGAAGCCAGCTGGACCTGGACTTTTCTTCATTGGAAGTTTTTTTTTTTTTTTTCCAGGCAGGCTCTCTGTCTGCCACCCAAACTAGAGAGCAGTGGTGCAATCACTGCTCACTATAGCCTTGACCTCCCAGACTCCATCAATCCTGCCACTTCAGCCTCCTGAGCAGCTGGGACTATAGGTGTGCACCACCATGCCTGGCTAATTTTTGGGTGTGTTTGTTTTTTTTTTTAATGTAGAGATGAATTTTTGCCATGTTGGCCAGGCTGGTCTTGAACTCCTGTGCTCAAGTCATCCTCTCACCTCAGCCTCCCAAAATAATGGGATTACAGGCATGAGCCACTATGCCCACCCAAAAGTCTTTTGATTGTTAATTCAATCTCCTTATTTGTTGTAGGTCTACTTGGGATTTTTTTTTTTTTTTTTGGAAATAAGGTCTCACTCTCACCCAGGCTGCAGTGCAGTGGCACTATCATAGCTTACTGTAACCTCAGACTCCTAGGCTCAAGTATCCTCCTGCTTCAGTCTCTAAAGTAGCTGGGACCACAGGCATGTGTCACCATGCCCAGGTTTTTTGTTTTTTTTTTTTCTTTTTTAGAGATGGGGTCTTGCTATATTGCCCAGGCTGATCTCAAATTCCTGGTCTCAAGCAATCCTCCTGCCTGAGCATCCCAAAGCACTATTAAGGGTATGACCCACTGTGCCTGGCCTCCAGTTTTTCTTGAGTTAGTTTCAGTAATTTGTATCTTTCTGGGCATTTGTTGATTTTACCTAGGTTATCTAATTTGTTTGCATAGTATTTAGATTGGTAGGGATATCCTTTCTTCCTTCCTTCTTTCCTTCCTTCCCTTCCTCCCTTCCTCCCTCCCTCCCTCCCTCCTTCTTTCCTTCCTTCCTTTTTTGAGAGATAGGGTCTTGCTCTGTTGTCCAGGCAGGAGTGCAGTGGTGCAATCATGACTCACTGCAGCTTCAGCCTACTGGGTTCAAGCAACCCTCCTGCCTCAGCCTCCTGAGTAGCTGAGACTACAAGCACGTGCCACCACACCAAGCTAAGCTTTCTTTTTTGTAGAGATGGGATTTCACTGTGTTGTCCAGGCTGTCTAGTTCCTTAAGGTACATTAGGTTACTAATTTGAGGTCTTTAAAAATATATATAAGCATTTAGAGCTATAAATTTCCTTCTAAGCACTGTTTAAGCTGCATCCTATATATTTTAGTATGTCATGTTTTCATTTTCATTCAACTCAAAGCATTTTCTAATTTTCCTAGTGATTTATTCTGTGACTTATTTGCTTATTAGGAGCTTGTAGTTTAATTTTCACATATTTGTGAATTTCTCAAATTTCCTTCTGTTTTTGATTTCAGAGAACATATACTATATGATTTCAATCTTTTTAAATTTACTGAGGCTTGTTTTATGGCTTAAGATATGGTCTACCCTGGAGAATATTCTGTGTATCCTTAAGAAGAAAATGATTCTGTTGTTGTTGATACAATGTTCTATAAATGTGTGTTGCGTCTAGTTGGTTTCTGCTGCCTCTCTTAAAGCAGAAGCAGGTAGTCAGTTCATGTTATACCCTAATATTCCACTTCTACTCAGTCTTCCTTCTGAGGTCAAGAAGCTAATATGCTTCAATCATCATCATCGTCATCAGTCAATACTTACATAGCACAACGTGGTACTCTTCTAAGCACTTTCCATAAAATCACTCATTTAATCCCACCACATGCTCACCTTTGTACCCCAAGCAGCTGTTCCTCACTGTAAGTGGAGCTCCCCTCAGCCTGCCGGGTCTGATTCCATTCATTCTCAGACTTCTTCTCCTTTTGTGCCTTCATGCAGTTGCAACAGCCACAGGGGTCATGATTCTCAGGTGGTGTGTCTTCTGGGTATTTGTTTCTTCTAACTGCATCAATGTAAGCTGCAAAGCAACAGCCCCTCCATTAGGTCTCCATCTGACCCTGAAAATCAACTTTTCGACTTACCTTAACTCTCTAGGAGGCTGCTCATAAGCATGAGAAGGTAAGTATAATGGCCAGGGCTAAGGAGGTCAAGCTGACTTTTAAGCATTCATATGAAGCTGAATAAACATCTGTTTCTCTGTGGTCAATGGTCAGAAGAGACATTGCTCATAAAATAGCATTTTTTGTTGCAGTGCCTCCCACCCCTAAGATTTAAAGTAGAGAGGAGTTCAATTCTTTTAAACTAACAATTATAGAACTAATATGTACCAAGGCACTTGGCTAGATAGATCAAGGGGGCAGATGAGTAAGACCTACTCTTGAGCACAAAGAGATTACAGTTTAATGCAAGCTTGTCCAACCCGTGGCCCACAGGTGGCATGAGGCCCAGCATGGCTTTTAGCCCAACACAAATCTGTAAACTTTCTTAGAACATTATGAGATTTTTTTTTTGCAATTTTTTTTTTAATAGCTCATCAGCTGTCATCAGTGTTAGTGAATTTTATGTGTGGCCCAAGACACCAAGACAATTCTTTTTCCAATGTGGCCCAGGGAAACCAAAAGGTTGGAAACCCCTGGTTTAAAGGGAGAAGATTCAATAATAACACCTGTAGAATGTAAAGAGGGTCATAAGCAATTCAGTGAAAAGGGGCAGAGCACTCATGTCTTCTCTGGAGGACCTGGGAAAGGCTTTAACATCTTTCTTCTGCTTAACATCCCTCAGCTACTACCCACTGCTCCTGGACACACTTCCTCTAAATCGGCCTAGCTAACTCCAACTCCAACGCATCCTTCTTGTCACTGTTTCTAACACTTTCTGCAAGAAGCCTCCCTTGACAGCCAGTCTGCATTAGATGCCTTGTCCGTGTGCTCCCCAAATCCCTGACCTTGCTATGTAGCCCAGGCCATTTTGTATTATTAGCCTGTTTTGTAATTGGCTCCTCAGTCATCAAACTCTCTCAGTGGGCTGCGAGTCTTGTGAGCTAAGGAACTCGTGTCAGTCAAATCTTCACTGCAGAATCAGGATAATGCGGGGCACACAATAGGTACTAGATAAATACTTTTTACCTGACTGTAGGGTGGAAAAGGCTAGTCCTGATGCCGGCTGGAGCGACAAGATCAAAGAGGGACTGAAGGTCAGGTGGCCCAGTTAGGCGGAGGATAGGGGCCAGGTTAGCAAGCTGCGGGGAGACCGCAGCACCCCACGGGCCCTCCAGTCACCCTGGCACGGGCGGGGCCTGACCCGCTGCGGGTCCTGGGCGGGGCACGGGCGGGGGAGGGGGCGGGGCTGGGGGCCGGAGGCAACAAGTCGTCACTGGTGACTCTGGCTCGCCGTCGGTCCCCAGCTTCCCTACCTCATCCTACTCTGGCTCAGCATCTTCTCACAGGCCTCTATCCCTCACCTCAGGCCCAGGATCTCAGCCCTTGTGCGTCTTCAGGATCCTCATCCCTGATCTTTCCCGAACACCGCCCTGTCCCTCCCTCGGGCGGGAACCTAGTACCTTCAGTCCAGCGTTCCCCGCTGCCCAGAGTCGCCGCCATCTCTGTTCCCAATCAGCAGGTCCGCCTAGCCTCCCGGAGCCCGAGGCTGAAAGAGAAGGGGGCGCGGAACGCGGGGCACGCTGGTTATTGTAGTCCAGTCCATACGAGCTCCTGGAGCACTGGACTACAACTCCCGGCAGGCTCTGCGCCAGAGGCCGTGGGAGATGCACAGAAGCAAAGGACTTGACCTTCGAGAGGAGACCTGTAGAAGAGTGTTGCTGCCAGCTGCGTGCAGCCCTGCTCTCCTCATTTGTAGGGTTGCCATAGACTTCGTCCCCGCCTAACCCTCTGGACATTCAAGGAGGGGCGACTAAGGTCCTGCCTGGAAAGGGCTTTGCAAACTATAGGCTCGAGGGTGACAGTATGACTATTATGCTCCTCAGGGATGTCTTTGAAGCATATGCTAATGCCTGTTCTGTGCAAAGTCAGTGGTAGGCCCTGGAGATTCAGAGAGGGGTTTTGGAGATGCCGAACCTCTGCCTTTGGAAGCTTAAGAGTCAAGAAAATAGAAAAGTGATGTAGATTTATGGGATTGGAGGGCAATCTTGGTATGCCCCTGCTGCCCCAGCTCCTCAGGCACTGGACATCAGAGGGTGTCGGGGTGGAGAAAGAAGACATGGAAAGGTATTGGGGCCGGTATTAGAGCCTCCATCTTTGCTGTTCCGGTCCTTCCTCCAACCTGTCCTACTCCAACCCCCTCTGACACCCTTTACCTCTCTTCCAGCCCAGTTGTCTCTTTAGTCCATTCTTTTATTTTCTGAAGGACTAGACATTGAGATTAGTAAAAAGGAAATGAGGAAATAAATATTCTTGTTTCCCATCAGTTACGGGTGGAGCCTAGCAAAGAATAAAAGCAACTTTCTTCATAGGTGGATGGCTATAGTTCATCCCCGAACAAAAAATTACCCTGAATTCACTGAGATCTTACCGAAGAAGATCAAATCAATCATGGTATCAACTAGAACCGATATAGGCAGTGGGGAGAGATGTATATTCCTGGACATAAACTTGGAAGGGTAAAAGCCCCAGAGGGCATGCAGTTCCAGCCTTTTCCTACAGTCACAGCCCTGGCATCAGTGACATCGTGCCCACTTAAGAACTTAGAGAACAAGGCCTCTCAGTGGAAAAAGCACTGGCCTAGAAATTGTATGGGCATTATATTAATAGTTGGAGTTTTGCACAAATCATTGTGTGATCCTGAACAACTCCTTTTTCCTTCATCTTTGGCCTCAGTCTCCTCACCTATAAAATGAGAAGGTTGAATTCAATTCGTAGATTTTAAATTGAGGAATCCTTAAGGCTCAATGTGTAGATGTCTCTGGGATCTTCTATTGAGGAGTGGGAGAGGGTAGGAAGGCATAGCCGGGAAGGCACCTTACCCTTCTTCAATCAAAGCAGCTCTGCTTTTTTCTGTTTTGTATTTTGTGGCCTACTAGAGGAAAGAAAATCCACATGTTTGAAAACTACCAAACTAGTTGACCACTAAAGGCTTGTGTCATTTGTAATATCAGTTTCTCCTGGAGCACTTAAAGACAGCGTTCTTCCCCCACCCCCACCCCCATAAGCACTGAGAAAGTAGTCTAGAAATTTGGTCATTTTTACTTAATTTAGGAGGAGGAATTTAGCATAGTGGTTAAAAAATCCACATAGGATTGATGTAGGATATAATAAGATAATGCTTGTCAAGCTTTTAGCACCTCATCTGGCATGTAGTATGTGCTTAATAAATGCTGGCCACTGTTATAGACTGGCTCAGAGGAGGAAAAACCGTTTTTTATGGTTTGACACTGTAAATTAGGAGTGAAGGGGTGTATGTTGGGTATATCATAAAGTCTTGGATATGATTAAGTGGACCCCATTCCTGTCTATCTGTCAATCATTACCTGCAAATAGGACAAGAAGCAAAACACTGCCAAAAAGGGCTGAGAAGCTGCTTTTCATGCACCCTAACCCCTGAATCCAGCCACTAAAACCAGTGATTTTCTCCCTTTCAAAAAGAGAAGAAGACGGCAAAAGTGAAATAGTATGAGAAGGTTTCGGGTCATCCTAAATTCCATGAATTATGTATGCCCTTAAATTTGAGAGGCAAAGGAGGCCCCAGAACCATGAGATGAATCAAAAGCTCAGCTCTGGGACACTGGACCTCTGACTACCTAACCTAATCCAGGTAGCAGTGTGCTCACAGAAAGCTCTGCAGCTGAGGGACCTGATCAGGGACATCTATCAGGTGGTTGAATATAAAAAGGAAGTTTTTCTGGTTTTGGGAGGCTAGACCACATGCTCTAGAAGATGAACAGCTGAGGGTGGGATGGACCTTGGAGTCCAGGGGAACAGGGCAAAGGTCTGGAGGCACTACTTGGAGATATTAGAATACCATGAAGTCAGAGGTATTTGGCTGAAAGTGGGCTGCTAGAGCACTACTGTAGGGGTTAACTGGATTGAGAAGAGGAACTATGAATTATGAGACTATTTAGGAGCAGAGCCTAGGCTCAAGAGTATTGGACAAGATTTGGGAAGCTGGAGTTTCTTCTCAAATCTTAGCAGCTGTCTGGTAGCTAAGCATCCTCTCTCCTCATCCTCTGAAATCTTCCATCCCCTTCTTTTCTAGACTTCTTTTCATTTACTTCTAGAACAGTAACAAAAATGAGTTAGCATTATGACCTTCTCAAATATTGCCAAGTGTCTAAATGTATTCTTCAGTTTGTTTACACCTCAGCTAACACTTCTCTGGATGCATTTTTCTTTCTTTCTTTTTTTTTTTTATGAGACAGAGTTTCGCTCTTATTGCCCATGCTGGAGTGCAATGGTGGGATCTCGGCTCACTTCAGCCTCCGCCTCCCAGGTTCAAGCGATTCTTCTGCCTCAGCCTCCCGAATAGCTGGGATTACAGGCATGCGCCACCACACCAGCTATTTTTTGTATTTTTAGTAGAGACGGTGTTTCTCCATGTCAGTCAGGCTGGTCTCGAACTCCCGACCTCAGGTGATCTGCCCACTTTGGCCTCCCAAAGTGCTGGGATTACAGGCGTGAGCCACCGTGTCTGGCTGAATTTTTCTTAAGATTGTGTCATTTGGACTAACGTGGAACTCGAAAGCTCAACATCGAGAACATTTCTGTGTCAGTTTTTGCTTAAGCTCATCAGCTAGTTAGCAAAAATCGTCCCCACTGTCAAGTTCAATGTCTATGTTTTGTAAAAGAGGAAGCTATGGGCCCAAAGGGTACAGGATGGAGATGCTGGGAGAAAGCAACCCACAGGAAGAGTGAGAGGGTAGCTGGGAAGGAGGTGAGGGAAGAGAAATTGGGATCTCCAAGGCAGTTCACAAAGAGAAGGAGATGGGCATGGAAAGAAGTTCGAAGAGGAGAGAAAGGAGGACATCCACAAACCCAGGAAAAGACTGGTGTACAGAATCACACAGTGTTTTCCAGCACATTCAAATTGAATAGAGTAGTACTAGCCAGGCTTGGTGAAACTGTGTGTCAGAACTAGGTCAAGGGGGCCTGCAGTGATCCTTCATCTGCTAAACCATTTCACCTTAGGGTCAGCCTCAGGTTTCTTTCAGTTTTCTCCACTTACTTTTTTTATTTTTAGAGACAGGGTCTTATTCTGTCACGTGGGCTGGAGTGCAGTGGCGCTATCACAACTCACTGCAGCCTTGATCTCTTGGACTCAAGTGATCCTCCCACCTCAGCCTCCTGAGTAGCTGGGACCACAGGCGCATGCCACTATGCCCAGCTTTTTTTTTTTTTTTTTTTTTTTTTTTTTTTTTTTTTGTCGATACAGGGTCTCACTATGTTGCCCAAGCTGGCCTGAAACTCCTGGGTTCAAACGATTCTCTCACCGGAGGCTTCCCAAGTGTTGGGATTACATGCATGAGCCACCACGCCCAGCCTCCACTTACTTTTTAACAATATGTGTTGAACTGTAGTGGATTCTTGTTGGTGATACTGAGGTTTGTCCTGTGCCCTACATGACTAAGATGCTGCCCCCTCCAGCCCTAGAAGAAAGAAGCTGAGTAAATGATCCTCCTGTTCCACTGGGCCTGTGTGTCTGAGCTGGTTTATCGGTTGCCCTCCCACAGGATGGGGGAAGAAATGAGAGAAAGACATTCTGCCACAAGCCCCCCATCCCTGCCACCTGTTCCCCCTTTAGGACCACGTAGTCCTGTGTGAGAAAAAGGCTGCACTCAGATTTCCTGTCAGAGGTGGGGTCTTGGATTTGCGTAAATAGTAGGATCTTCCACGAGAAACCTCCCTACTAGAGTTTGCTCCAGAGCAGAATTCAGCATTGAGTTCATCCTCTACCCCTTCCCAAAGGATAGAGTTACCTAGCAACAGGAAAATCCACATGGCTCATGCCGTACTGCGGTGTCAGTGTCAGGGTAAAAGCCTTTAAATCTCAAAGATTATTAATACCAGTTCTCTCCCTCTTCCCCCACATATAAATACCTTGTGACTAACAGCTCATATATGCAGGTCATTGCCCAGAGTCAGAGGAAAATGTGTGATTTTATACTGAAGATGTCAGCCGACTTTCCTAGAGTGAAGCCCCATGTCCTTGACCTGTTTAGTCCGGTATGGCAAGCAGCTGTACTGAGTGCCCATGGCAGGCAGAATAACAACAGCACAGACAGAATCCAGACATTGTTATGTCACTGAGGGGATTCCACCCCAATGGTGGATGTTAGACCAGAACTGGCTAGTAAGTCATGTGCTGTAGGCTGTGAGATTTAAATCAAATACATATGAATTATTTAAAAAATATTAGCCAAGGCTGGGCGCAGTGGCTCACACCTGTAATCCCAGCGCTTTGGGAGGCCAAGGTGGCCGGATCACCTGAGCTCAGGACTTCAAGACCAGCCTGACCAACATGTTGAAACCCTGTCTCTACTAAAAATACAGAAGTTAGCCAGACATGGTGATGGGCACCTGTAATTCCAGCTACTTGGAAGACTGGGGCAGGAGAATTGTTTGAACCCGGGAGGCGGAGGTTGCAGTGAGCCGAGATCAAGCCATTGCACTCCAGCCTGGGCAACAAGAATGAAACTCCATCTCAAAAACTAGCCAAGGATGATGGCTCAC